GCGAGCGTTCAAATCTAATCATTTATTCATCGAAGTAAGAAATACATAATTATGTATATTTCATCTATTGATGGTCATTTTTTTTAAATCTACCACCGTTTCGTAATGAGGTTCCTCTAACGGAGAGGAAACCGGGGAAAGAAACTCCGTATGTATCCTCTATTTTGTCATTTTTTTTCTCAAACAATTACATGTTATTACAGTACATCATTTTTATTTTTTAGTAAACTGCTTAGGAGGGATCGTCTCATTCCCAGGGGTTGTTATCATTAATGTATACATTTATTTTATAATAACCCTTTTTTTTTAATTTTTAAAATCTTTAACAAATTTCTTTAACCTGTTAATACCTAAGGTACCTTTTTATCTATTACAAGCACTCTTTTTACTGAATTGAGTTGACCAGGAACAACTAAGTAATTAAATCTGCAAGGCAACTACCGCCCCTGTTAGATTATCGAATCTTTCAAATTCTAGCGTGTGCACGTGTTAACCGTTAAGAAATCTAGTGTTCATTGCTTTTTAATGTAAAGTAAGATGCCATAAATATTGCCCCTTACTAGAGTTACCCATTATCGTATTGAGAGTCCGATTAATAATAATTAAATGTAATAAGCAACTTCTCCCAGTTCCTTAGAATCATAGCAACCGTCAATAATATTGATTCGGCCAATTGACAATTTTTGACGGCAACACGATTTTCGCTACCATCGCAAGAAAATTTTAGGGTTCCGTACCCTGTTACTAAGACTCAGCTGTCTGTCTGTCACCAGACTGTATCTCATGACATTAAAACAGTTGAAATATTCACAGATGAAGTATTTCTGTTGCCGCTACATATAATAAAAAAAAATAAGTGAGTCTCGCATACAACAGTCTTGATTTTTGCCGCTTATATAGATAATGCTACGGAACGCTTCGTGCTTGAGTCCGACTCGCACTTGACCGGTTTATTAAATACTCATTGATGATATTTAAAGGCACTTCGTCAAACCATTGAACTTGTGTCGCACGCGTGATCGTTTTCGACACGATTTTTTTCTCAACTCGAACCTAAGACCCTCGATTTGGCTTAGCAGCGAGCTAATTTCGGCAACCGATTGCGACGTAGCAGCAGCCATATATAGCGTACAATGGGGGAACGGTACAAGTAAAACCTACTAATAATGCTTCACAGTACAGTCAGATGCCTGACAGAGTATCTAGTCTCAGAGGCTGTGGTCAGTAGTGGTAAGAAGTAGCTTGTATATCTTAACAAGAGACGACACGGATCATTGCTTGATATGTATCTTACAAATTGTTTTTCACAAAACCGTAAATACAATAACGTAATTTAGGGAAATGTAAAATGCTTTTGAATAGCATTTCCGTGTGAAGCATTTGAAATGTTTATTAAAATATAATAAATAGAATTGCTTTTTCGACGTACATCCTTTTATATTATCGAATATTCTTACATACAATAAGATTCAATGGAGAACAAAGGCGACAAACGTAACAAGTCCATATTTTTTTTTTACAAATTATTTCGATATAATTTGTTTTATTTCTGAGAAAAGAGCTTTGTAGCTGTGAGATAACATCGTCCCGTAAGGTTTACAAAACGTTTTATAATTAATCAACAAAACTTTAAATTAAAAATCTATTACGTCTCCTGACCAATATCCAAGCCTCATCTGACGTCGGTAAATTCGCTATAATAATACTAGTATTCGTCTCGCGTTATAAAATTTATGTCGGATTGTGCACGTGCGTGCAGCTGACTGTACCCCCCTTGTTACAATAAGCCTAATTGCGTAGCGGTGCTTTCGCCGTTTCGCAACTTCGCAGCACAAGTATGGTCGTCTGTACTCTTACGGGCGACCCTCGCAAGTAGCGGCCCCGCTAGCGCGAAATTTTCCACCGCAGGTCTCATTCGGCAACAAAGATAACAGACAAGATGCGAGCGAATGTGGCTTAAATGAAAAGAAACGCGCGGAAACGAAACGTAATCGATACGAAATCACCGACCTAACCTATCTGTCTCCGTCGTGTATGTCTGTCGTTAACCTTTACTGTGATATGTTATTTTACTTTTTACTTAGAAAGGTTATTGATGTCATTAGTTGACATGAAGTAACATATCATTTTTTGTTTTAATTTTTTTTTTGAGATTACCCTATTTGTAAATTTTTTGTTGTATTTTATTAAGTCCGCAATAAATTGTGATTGACCTGTAAAATTAGAGTTATGTGCATAAATTTGATATAACTTATCATAATCAACGCCCGCTTAAATAAATAATTACAATTCTACAGTTTATTTATGTTCAATTAATAATTATTTAATAATAATAAAAAACATACTATCGTATGACTTTCATTATTTGATATGTTGGTCATCGAAGGTGAGTATGGGTTGAATCTAAATTTCATGTCGGTAATGATATAATAGCAATCAAATTAGTGGTTTTTTTTTTTCTCCAAAATAATAGACCAGAATTTAACAACATTTTTGACTAGATTACACAATGCCAGAGGTTAACATCACCAGTCATAAAGTCAGCAGTCATAAATAAGGATACCTCCGGGATATCCAGTTGTGGTAATTACAGTACTTCACCGAATTAGCAATGCCAGATAGCCGTACCACTTAATAATATTTCACCCTGAGACGTCTATTCAATCGCTAGGAGCTGACTCAATTGGACTTAGTCGTTCGCCTAATTGCCGTCCGCATCGAGCGTATGAAGTTTATACCGTGGTACAATTCACGCTGCATTAACAAACGTATAGAGTGTATTACGTGCGAATATCGATAAGGCATTGCTAAGGATCTAGGCCATTGGCTCTCAAAGTGGGCGGTACCGCCCCCCAAGTGGACGCTTGAAACTAAATAATATTGGGGGAGCTAAATAAAAACGTGAGCCGTGGAAAGTATAGCTAGCACGTCGAAAAACAGTTCGGGCCACACTGTCCAGAAATGTCACTTATACAACGAGAAGTTCATTAAACAAGCTACCTTATTATTATTTCCTTACATATTTCTATAAATTTAGATAAGGAAGTTCTGTTGTTGGGTATTTCTTCTCGATTCTTCCTAAAGTTGGCGGTACACCAAATAAGTTTGAGAAACACAGAGACTACGGTTTTGGTGCGCTCTCGTTTTGGCGGCTAACTAAACCAGCCGTACACTCGCACGCAGCGTTCCGTCTAACAAGGATAACCGAAAACCGTCGCCGCATTGGCAATTGTATGAGTAATTGACCGCCGATTGCGAAACGTTTCCAGGAACGAATCTAAAATTAAAGGTTCATTGTTCACTATTTTCGGTGTCGCCTACAGAACCCGGGCGTTTCGCGTGGCCCAGCCGAGTTCGGTTCCGAACTAAGCGTGAGTAACCGCATAATACAAGCGTTGTCCAGCTTTTGGCCTAATGACCAATGTATAATCGACGTGAGCGAATCAAAGAGATCCGTGTCAAAGAAACAGTTCAACAACTCGCTTTACGATTTTAAACACATTAGCAACATGCATAACATTAGCCGTGATAGCTCAGTGTCCGGGCGCTAGCTTTTAATTCAATATACTCGAGCAACCCGAGTTCGATCCCCGGTGCCGGCACCAATGAAATTGTTAATTTCAAGTGCTGATTGAACATGAATTATAAGCGGTGAAGGAAAAGAAGAAGAAGAAGAAGAAGAAACGTTTATTCACGGTCTAAGCACAAATAGATACATAGAACACTTAAAAATAATAATGTTATAGTCGAGATACAGTAACTAAGATTCGTTCTGATCCCGACGCCGGTTTTCAGTCCGCCCGCACTTCGAGACAACTCGGACGGCTGCGTCAGTGCACTTGTAATACATACCTACAACGCAGTATAGCGATAATTAAAATATCCTGAGAAACCTTACTTTTCGAAATATTAACAAAAAAATATTTCCTTACCCTCTGTACAGAGGAGGCCTTTGCCCAGCAGTGGGACATGTATAGGCTGTTACTTTATTTTACGTTACTTATGTAACACACGTTTTGTTAATTAATCATTTATCGTCAATGAGGCATACAATGCCTTGGAGGACGGCGCTCTCGGTGGGATATAAAAAAAAAAGGTAGCAATGACGTCTAGCGATGACAGATAAAAGGGAAGAGGCGGATGCGGGTTCCTCGTGTCGAGTAACAGCTGTCCATCCCAGTTTCGAATTCGTAGAAGAAGCCAGATGTAGGAGCGGAGCATCGTCTCTTCTGATTGTTCTATAACAGCGCATTGGTAGTAACAGGTTAATGGTAATAAAGGTCTTTTATCTAACATATATCGCGTTAAGTCAGGCATAAGGCATTAAGTCCGGCCTTTGTAAACCTTTTGAGGTGTTTTCAATAAAGAATAAATAAATAAATAAATATCGCGAGTCTGTACGGTATTTCTTGCAGATTTGCTTTTTACGTGCCCCAGCCGGTTTGCACTGTGCTACAGGTGATGATAAGATATGTGATTGGGTCGTATACGTGGTAAAATGTCGTATAATATTGTATAGCAAAACTTCACGTAATGAAGTGAAATTTCAGTTACAGGAGATAAAACTCCGTTGGAAATCAACTACAATTTGAGTGTGTGAAAAAATCTGTGTTTATTCATTCTTGCGCAGCACTACCAAGAATCGAACCTATCGAATTACTTTTGGTACGCAACTCGATGTTCCAGTGTTAAAAAAATTTAACACAGTGGTGATATAGAGTTGACTTTCCATTTAGTATAAACAAATATAACTTTAACTTTGTTTTTCTTTTGTTCTTGTATTTGGTAATATTCAATTTTTTTTTACATTTATTTTACGTTATTCTGTTTTAGAATACCTAAATACGATTATGCTATGTGTAGGTACGACACATACCTTGTGAATGCTGTGACTATATAAAAAATTTGTTTTATTAAATTTTGTGCACATGTCATTTTCTTGGCGATCCAAAATTAAAAAAAATAAACAAATAGTGACGCTCTCATTTCCGGCATTGCAGTACGGCAGCGATGAGTTCGGGCACGACTCGCCCAGCCGGTACGCGTCGCCGAAGGGCGCGGGCGCCGGCGCGTCGTACCAGGAGCCGTACTACGCGGGCGGCGAGTGGGGCGCCGGCTACTACCAGCCGCCGCCGCCGTACCAGCACGACCCCTATGCCACCTCGCCAGGTATGTTATGCCATGGGCGTGACGTTCGCAACAGAAGCCGGACGAAGGCTTCGATCCAGATAAGGCGACGTTACACATTGATGATGTTATGACGACTTATGACTATTACACATATTATTTTATGTGAGATGATAGAAAGCGAGCTGGGTGTTCAATGATATCAAGCGATAACCGCTGCCCATGGACATTTGCAACACCCCTAAGGTTGCGGATGCGTTGCCACCTTTTAATAAAGTGGGCCCCGGCTACCTCACTCACTCGATGAAACGTATAAGTATGACACTTCCACTCCACTCCGGTTTTGGTGACGTTGTGGTACTTACCCGGATGGACCTGCAACAGCCGCAGCTGTTGCGTGGCCCTACCACAAGTATTGACATTTTAATGACAAACATGGAGAGTAGGGAGGATGCACTTTGACTTGGCAGCGCTCAAGCAGATCAGCTGTGATGCCAAGTCAAAGCTTTAATTGTAAACTACTGCTTTGCTTTACTGCTGTAATACATCTTATGATAAACGGGCATGAAGTCTCTCTATACTTATCACTTACCATCAGGTGGGATGACAGTCAAGTGCTGGCCATTTTTGAATAAAAAAGTATAACAGTATGAGGAATTCTTCCTTACGTGTCGATGACAAATCATATCTTTCCAGCCCAGAACTTAGCCACTTCGACAGCACAATTTGTGGCATTCATCAGGAATTAAAAAAAACAGTATGGATCACCTTTAAATTTAATCTATTGTACAGTGAGATACTGGCTTGTCTGCGCCTTTGAACAGTTGCCAAATGTAATAAGGCTTGTGGTTGTGACTTCTTCCTTCGTTCACCAATGCGGTGTGTCGGTGCGCAGGCATAGCGGGCGGTGCGGCTGGCGAGGCGGGCGGGGGTGCGGGCGCGGGGGGCGCGGAGCTGCCCCTCCCCCCCATGTCCTCCTTCAGGGCCGCGGCGCCGGTACACTCGCCCACCGACACGATGCTGCTAACGAAGCCGCCGCTGCAGCCGGTGAGTACACTCGACCGCCATCGAAAAGACTGTCGATTTGCTATGGATAGTTCACTGGGAGAAGGGGGTCGTAATTGTATTTGTGACCGTATTCGTTAAATGAATCATTTAATTAAGTTTTTTTTAATTTAACCCGCGATGCGCAGTTGACATCAGATCGGTATACTGCAGAAGTGTAGTGAGAATATTGTTGAACGACCTCACAAAACCTCAGGAGATATACGTATATACTACCAAATGTATCGAATATACCGAAATCCCTAACGAACTTGCCACCACTTTCGCACCATAAAATTAACTTATATTTAAAATTTTATTTATATGCATACGCAAACAACTGCTATAATTTCACAACACTCGCTAATCGCTTCACTTTCTTACACATCACCCTTCCTTCAAATTACTAACTGTACAAACCACAAGACAAATATTTGCTCGATTTACCTTTACCTTCAGAGATCTCTTCATCGTTTTTAACACAAACCAACTACTCCACTTCGAACTTTACTCGCAACTACGTCCTAATCCAATCGCATCGCATCCTCCACCGGCCTCGTAAAGCACACAACGTCTACCGCCAGATGTACGGCGGCGCGGCCACAAGCGGAGCGGGCGCGGGGGCGGGCGCGGGTGCTGAAGCGGGCAGCCTCTCCTCGTACGGCTCGTCGCCGTCGACGCCGGTGCACTCGCCGCCGCCCCTCCACGCGCGCCTCTACCCGCTCAAACACTCGCCCCACCACGCGCACCACATGCACCACCATAACGGACAGGTAACAGTCCACTGCTGTTGCACAAGTGGGCAGGCTCTTCCGCGGAAGTACTATACTTTCACAATAACACAGCCTGCTCGCTTGAAAACTTTTTACCTACAATAATTAGCTTCCACTTTAATGTTAAGCTTTTAAAGCTGTCTATAATTATAGGTGATCAATTACCATGAGTTAATCCATTTGCTCTCTTCGCACCTCAATCGTGATACATTCGTCTGTCTGTCGATCAGATTCGATTGACGAATTTCACCGCTTGAGAGTAAACTTTTACCCGACTTTATATCTGTATTTGCAGCATCAGATCCAGTGTAGACACAATACATTAATACAGTCGATGCAATAAAAACAAAGTTTGTTACACACTGTAGACTTCTCGTTTCGGTGGTTAGAACCATTGAAAGTGCAATAAGAAACCTCTCCCTCACAGCAACAGGCCGCAGGGTGGGCGGGCGTAGCGTCCCCTCCCGGAGCTGGCGTTGGCTCTGTGGGTTCAGTTGGTCCCGTGGGTCCCGTGGGCGCCGTGGGCGCCGTGGGTGCCGTGGGCGCCGTGGGCACAGTAGCCAACGTGCTGCCCAACGGTCACCAGCACCACGTGGCCGTCTTCCCGCACAACGTTATGGTAAGTCCTAGTGGTCCGATCAAAACTCAACATCCTGTACATCAGAGGTGCCCAAACGATCGATAGCTGACAACAGGTAAAGAATAATAAGCAAAAAAGATAAAGATAATATACCTCGCTTTTTGATCGTAATGAAAATATCTATCGCAAATAGCATTCCTAATTGCGTTCCTAGCATCGATTTACATGTGCAAGTTGACATGTTCTCAGATGAAAATAATAAAATCGAAATATCGTAGTCGTTTTTGCGAATTTTGAAAATGAATTAAAAACTAAGCACAGCACAAATGCTAAAATAGAAATATTATTGGAACCCAAAGTAGTTTAAGTTATAAAAATTGTTTTGCTGATAATTTTTGAGGTAGATCTACAAAGAAAAAAAGCACATACATGATATAAAAAAAAAATATACAGGAAAGGTGTCTATGGGCCGCACTGCTGTTGTAAATTGTAAAAGTTCATTCCTAGTATCATAAGCAAATAGTATATAGTATCATAAGTGACAAAGCTACAGAAAGTTGAGACTAAGATAAATGTAAACATATCTGTGTAAACATAACTTTGGCTATTTTCGTGAGACATCGTTTTGGTGTCATTTAATTGGATGATAGATCGTTTGTCTCTTTTTAGCATGACTTCACGCATGGATGTAACTAACTGATGTTTACGTTTACAGTTTCATTGCCAATCATAGTAAGGTGCCACATTTTTAAAGTTAAATCTATTTGTTAATAAGAGAATATAAAATGTTTGTTAATAAAATAGCGTGGACGTAACTTAAGTCTTTCGAAATGTGGAACTTAATTGATTATTGTTCTTTATATGAAATATATTGCTAGTGCAATTTGTGTTCCACTAAAAATTGATATTTGCTCTTTGTGTGTTAAAATCATGTAACTCTAGTTATCTGGTACACAATTTGTACGGCAAATATTTGTTACGGCTTTATATACTTGATTTTGTTGTGTTTTCGGAAAAATTTGGTGCGACACGACCGCTTTCGTTCCTGCCTTGTTTAATATCCCGTACTGTAAATTGTTTTGCTTTATGCCCATATCAGTTTCATATTTCGCCGCTTTATATTTCAAGTTTCGCGCCATGTTTTCTCCCCCAGTTTTTGTGTTTTTTTGTTGTTGTTTTTGTTTGTCCTGTTTTTTCTTTTCATCAGCGACTCGCGTAGAACCCTGAACGAAAGCTATACAACCCTTAGAACTGTACAGTTGCTAGTTTTGCTGTAGCCCTGAGTATTACAATAGTGGATAGTCTGTATAGGTTTTAAAGAAATTGTAGTGTAATTTTTTTTAAATCATAACGCGATAACACTTCATGATATGTGAAGTTAAAAAATATATATTTATCAAACTGATAGTATTCCAAACGAAACCTAAGAATATACTAAAGTCAAATTAAACCTAAAACAAACATGAAAAATGTTATAATAATTAGTAGATAAGATACGGTAAAAATTCGTTGTAAAGAAAATTCTTCATGCTAATCAAAATAACAACCGTAAAAAGAAGAGTTATGAACGAGTTTACCCAATGTTCTAAATTAAAACGCTCCTACACTTCTTCATTAATATTGCAGATTACACATTTTAAAAGTTGTAGTCTTTTAGATTAGAAAGTGGGATATAGTTTTATTTAATCGTGTGTATTTTTCACTTTAAATCAAGTATCGTTGAAAGTCAACGGTCTAAAATTAACGACGCCATAGTGAAACTTTTCTCGACTTAAAAGATGTATTTTGCACTATCCAAGAAAAACAATGACCGCGGAACGGCATTGCGGCACAGCGGTCAGAATAACTGGAAATTATCAGATTAAAATACAAAAACAAACGACGTACGAGTAAACGGTGATCTCTTTAAATTCTCACAGTTAATATAGAACCAACCTTCAAGATATCTGTAAATATAATAAATAAAAATAAAATATAACCTGGACAGAATAAAAAAAATCTACTCTACTGTTTTTTGTTGCGGTACATCACATTGATATTTTATATTCTCTGTCACTCTGAAAACTGAGACGAATCTATTGATACCTCATATGCTAAATTCGTCAAGAAGCTTACGCTGTAGAGCCTGATAACTATTGATGAAATGTCCTTATGGAGAAATCACCAAGGCGTCAAACTATAATAAGCGTCAGGGCGGTAAACTAATAATGAATTTATAATCTAAATAAATCCCCAAGACGTTGAACTAAAGAGCGTGAAGGAGAATAAAATATACAGACACACGCTCGAAAAACATTACCCTCCTTCAGCAGTCGGCTAAAGCTTGATCCCATCGTGAAAAAATACGTGGTTAGAGTAGTAGATAGGTCCCGCCGACCTGTTAACTGGCGGATCCAGGGTTCCGTGCGTCGCTGACGTTGCGTGTGGGCAGGGCGCGCCGGCCGAGCAGCGACAGCTGGACGAGGCGATGGTCTTCCTGCGGGACCATTCAGACATCGTTGTGAGTACTCAGAGCCATCCGTTTCACTTTACTACGGCCACTCAGTGTCTTTACATCCACCAACGACACGAAATTGACGTTCGGGACGAGTAATGGAACTAAGCCATTTCAATATAATCAATTCCTATTGATATTAACGTCAATAATCGTTTTAAATGGTCAATGTGAAATTATTTTAACGTATTTAAAAAAAAAAGAGGATAAAAATATTGTCTGTTTTACTTTGTCTACGAGTAGCGTGAGTGAAGTATATTTTGTGTATAAATGGTTTGTCAATAATTCCAAATCACTTGCTTACTGAACTTTATTGAATTTATTTATTAGTTACTAAATCAATTTTATCACCAATAATATAATTTATGAAGTTTTTACCTTTAACTAACAATTCTTACACTGATCCGGTGCAGTTTTGAACACAAACCTTTTTCTTAGTCATCCAGCATCAGCCCATTAATCAGTGAAATATCAGTAAACAAGTGTGGTTAGTACGCTCTATTTAGATAATTGATGATGCATGATTTTCTTTTTGCGGTTATCATATACAATTCCATTAATATTATTTTTTACCTTCCTGGTCGTAATGTAGATGTCGTGGCATGGTTTTCGAGCTTAAGTGATTTTGTTTTTAATACTAGATTTCGGTATGACGTATCGCCCTCTTGCGAACAAAGTTGCGTATTAATTTCTTTTTAGATATTACGCTGAATATAAACGCCCTTGCGGTAATGAAAGTTTTGTTTCCGCTTTTCAAGTGATAAAAACAAGGAATATTTACCGCCAAGCTATTGTTTTCAGGTCTAAACTCAATTTCTTTTTTGACTAATTCAACGTCCCAGTGATTAGGTCAGTTTCTTTCGATCGAAACATTTAAAGGTAACGAATGCTATATCCAGGGCGCGAGGATGGAGGAGAGACTGGACGACGCCATAAACGTCCTTCGCAACCACGCGGAGGCGCCAGAGCTGTACCCGCACGAAGTGCATCACCAGCCGCCCGCAGGTAACATCATCAACTGCATCATCATAATATGTACTCTTCGCTGAGTGGCGCAGTTGTCAATGTGTCTGTTTCGGGGGTCGTGGGTGAAATTCACAACTATTCGTGTGACCGACAGATAACTGTTTCAGATCTGGGTGTTTGCCCACGTGAACTTTATGTTTGTATAACGTCCTCACATTTAATGGTTTTAAGAAAAGATACAGAATGAGAAGAAATGAGAACATGAAATTCAGCACACTCTGACATTCTGATGCCCTGTTAAAACATGGAGGAGCTTACATATATAAGAAAATTGGTATACGCTTCGTTCTTCACGTTATAAGAGGATTGTGTTTATTTAAATTTGGTCCTAATTTATTCCATTCCCTATAATCAAAACTTATTTGGTATCTATCCTGTTGTATTTCTTCTTAGTCCTCAACCATATTGCAAAACTTTTACTTATAAGCTCACATTTTTGCTATTCTTCTCCGTGATGGAAACAATCGCTCTAAAGGACAAATACTTCTAAAAATTAGGCGAAAAGATATTCGCAGCTGTGATAATCGGACCCACACCGGAAGGAGTGGTTCTTAACACACATGATATTGACACACCGTTCTCAACAATCAGTCACAATTAAAATTAATCTCCCCCCAACAAGAAGGCTTTCGCAATCCTATTTAACGGTGCTCTAGAGCTGACTCTGATTCGAAACCGCCATCATCCCTGCCGTGGTTCTAAAGTAACCCTGATATGTTCCGTTCCAGCGAGCCGGCTGGGACCTTTGGCGCACGCGCCGCCTGAGCCCCCCGTCAAGTTGGAGCGCCATCTATTGCCCAACACAAGTGAGTACGACCACTTTGCACAATCCCCGGCCTTCACTCCATTCCGTGGCCAGCTCGTTAAGTTAGCAACTGTCTAGCGGTGATCAATTGACTGCTATCCAACTCCCTGATCCTGTTTCTTTTATCTGTAGAATGATTGCCATACATTTGTTTGATTTAATACACAAACAGTTTTTCTGAGTCTGAGGGTACTTCGCGTATTTATGGGCCGAGTAAACCTCCCGATAACTCCCATAATTCTTAATCAAATTTTTTTTTTGATTCATACATTCATATATTTTATGGCTTAAGCAAATAGACGTAAAATTAATGTTTTCATAAAAAATCGTTTAAGCAATTTATGATAACATCCTTGTTTAAATGAGCGATAGATAGCAAAGTAGACTGAATTTCACCGTTTTTCTTCGAAACTCATTTCTTCGATACCTCACATCGTTAAATACTTACTCTCACATTGTTATATTACCATTCGGCGTCTACCCACGGTACTGTTTATAACTTTTATTGTTTAGCATCCCACCCCATTCGACCGTTCGTTAAAAATGATGATATTGCACGATATTGGTTGTGTCGATATCTATTGATTATGGGCTACCTTCATTCCAGAGAAACGCAAGGAGCCGCCGGACGTGGCCTTGGAGGCGAAACCCTCATCCTCGGGCGCCCCAGACCACTCGAAGCCGCCGAACAAACGCTCGCGCAGATAGTGAGTCCGCTGAAACACGCCCGCACGCACACGCATACGCACACGCACACGCACACGCACACGCAAAGTCGACGCACGACACGCATTTAGCGACACGTGATTCCTGAAAAGTAACATAGACAGACCGCCTATACATGTCCCAATCCTGGGCAAAGGCCTCCTCTGTACTGTAGAGGTTATTAGAGAATTGTCCCCCACGTAAACCCATTGCGGATTGGCGGACTTGACATATCTTCGAAATTTTTTTTTGTTGACATTTCGAAAATATGCAGGTTTCCTTGCGATGTTTTCTTTCGCCGATGAGCACGTGATACTAGCATTTAAAATAAACGTTTACATTGGTGCCGACACCGGGATGTGAAATCGGGTCGCTCGAGTATATTGAATTAAAAGCGAGCTGCCGGTCACTGGGCTATCACAGCTCTTATCGTTTGGTTTGATGTCTGACGATTGTGATAATTTCATCTCAGTCTAAAACTGATAGATACGTTGGTCGATTACATACATATATACGACCGCATACGGACATAAAGACATTCAAATCCTTGATCTTGTGAAATGACTGTCGATTATAATTTTTTTTAGTTTATTCTATAAATAATACGTTAGGTTTTTTATCATCACTTGGTAATGGCAGCACCATGGTGATTATGCGGAGACGATTACTATTACCAGAGAGAAAAAATTAAGACAGAATGTTGACAGATGTTGACGTTTTCATTGTCCATCTGAAACGAATTCACAATTGTACAACAAAACCATTCTGTTCTTATTGCTTTGAAAATTTCAAAGGCAACATTGTTATCAACTTTACCACACACAAACACACAAATTCAATATTTCACTTTGTATTGATTTGTCTTTAATTATTTAGTTGTTCATACGAATTCTGAATGTTACATTTAAACAAAAATATTTCACAAAAATTCTGTACGATTGGATCCGTTGTAGACTTAAATCCTATTTATGTTGTGCCCTGTTTCTTTTGCTAAAAAGTCAATAGAATAGACATTATACATGCAATAACTTTCAATTTTCATTTGTATAACAACACATTAATTGAAAGATCTTTCGTAAATTAGACATTGCTTTTAAATATTTACATTCACGGTTCGTATGTTACATTGGATGCCTCCATAAATTTGTATTTAATCTTTCCACGTGTCTATTATCTCGGATTTGTTGCGCGCCCTAAATAAGCCTACGCGTTGTAACCGTATTTTCCGTTCGACAACAACTGCGCGTTTCTAACTAACACAACGTAACAGTGGGCAGTTTATAGTGTGAAACGATCCGTTGTACAAATCATTCCGCCCCTCAACCTTGCGCCCCACTCGCCTCCGTAACAAGCGACAAGTCCACACAACCCCCTGGGGCGGTAGGGGATGGGGTGGAGTAGGGGGGTTGTTTGGACCTGTCGGGGCGTCGGGTTGGGGTGGCGAAAGGGCACGATAACAAGTTGCGAAGTGGTTGTGGTGTGGCGCGCAGCTGCTCGTCCGCCGACGAGGAGGACGTCGACCCCGACACGAAGGCGGCGCGCGAGAGAGAGCGGCGCCAGGCGAACAACGTGCGCGAGAGGTGCGCCACACACACACACACACACACACACACACACACACACACACACACACACACACACACACACACACACACACACACACACACACACACACACACACACACACACACACACACACACACACACACACGCACGCACGCACGCACGCACGCACACAAGACACCGAAACTAACATAAACACGAATACGACTTAGTGCGGAGCAACTAGTGACAGATGCGAACATTCACACACACAAGCCAATGAAGCACACATAAACACGAATACGATTGAGTGCAGAGCAACTAGCGACGGAGGCGACACACACGCGCATACAAACACACGTGGTAAACTGTAGATACATTGTCACGGGCACATATAAATGTGCATAGTTCACATAAGCGACCACACAGACACAATGAAAGAATACACGACACACAAACATCTAGTCACGCATACTAACTCACCTGTACTTATTGCTCCCGTATGTTATATATACTACATCTCTCCAAAATAACTCCCCGCTCTCTTTTAATTATCAGATACATCAATTCCTCAAGCTCTTTTAATAACCACAGCTCTAAATAATCTGGTGGTAGATACCGGTTGATGAATAGACTAATCGCTTTATTCAATAACTTTTTTGGACTGCGCAGTAAGTTATGCTCGAAACTATAATTCTAAATGTTTAAATTCATTGTTGGTGTAATGTCGGAATGACAATTTCCAGCTCAAAACAATGGTTAAGTTTTATACGCCATAATCACAGGTCTTGACAGACCCTTACCATAACCAATAAATGTTAATGACATCTTAAGTATTCTAAAAGTTTATTTGTAAAACGAGAAAGAACTTGCTTTGCTTAATTTTTCTGCCATTAAACACTGCCTAATTCTGCCAACAGTAAAAGTTTCTCTCAGTTCTCCCCTCCTCTCTTCCTTTGACACATTCAACCGTATCTACACACTATAAGGTTCAAATATCTCTGTCGCGTCGCACTAACAACCATGATTATTAAAGTTACAGATTCCATCACCGCTACATCGGCTAACAACAATTTGGGTCATAGCATATAAAAACGTTACTAATCGCGTCATCTTAATTGTGTGTATATTTGTTCGTCTGTATGTTTGTGACTCTTTTGTGTTTGACGTTTTAGGTGGAAGGTAAGTCTTCTGCGTTTGTGAATTTCTACTGAAACATATAAGTCCATACCTCACCATTTTTAGCAACCGTTTGGCTTTTCTCAGTAATAAATCATTCATTACAATAATGTCTGAATTAAAGAAAGTAGTTGCTATTACAAATTCATTAATTAGTAAAGGTAATCTGTACTTTAGCAATAACCTAGTCTATAAGCTAGATGTTTTAGAAGACATTTTCATTATTTTTATTGCATTTTACTCAATGGATGATTCATATTGTGAAATCAATCCAAAATCAAACTGAACTGAATCTAAAAGGTCACATTATACATTAGGTACTCTTCAAGACTTTGATATTTGATTTAAATCAACGTACCTCCTCAAAGGGCATATTAAAAAATCTATATAAAATGAAAATGTCTTGGATACCGCATTACAATCACATGTGCAGTTCCCAATCCCAATCCCTAACTTTCCTCATATAACTGGAACACAAAATCTGTATAAAGGGTTTTTATTCGTGTTGGGAGAGTGGTATTGAGCATTATTATATCTTGATATAATTTGATTATTGAAACTTATTCATTCATTCATTCATTCATTGGGAACCGGATTATCCTGCTCGCTTTGTTAACTAATCGGTAATGCCAATTAATCCTTATCCGTTAACATTAACCAGAATCATTCACGCTTTGGAATGGCTTAGGGCCATTTCTTCTCTTTTATTTTCGAACAGGGGGTCGGCCGTCTCTCTCTCGCGCGCTGCCCACGTGATCGAGGTAAGGTGTTCCCGATTCGGAAAGGCCTCGAGAGACTGCAATAGTTAATTAGTTATCGGAATGAAAGGCACCTTATTTTTACGCAAAGACGACGCTGAAAAACGTAGTCTGATATTATTTAAACAATACCTTATTAAACTATAGTTATAATAGTTTACTTGATGTTGATATAAGAAAAGTAAAAAATGTTTCTTAATAAGAGAACGTTGTTTTAAAAGGTCAAAAGGATCAATGCAAATCCGACACCAATCTCTGAAAACTAAAAAAAATCAAATCTCTGAAACGATCGTCAGTGACATTTTTTTGATATGTCAAAATATTCAGACCACTGATGAGTTACAATAATTTTGCATCTTTATCATCTTTTTTGGATTAGTGCGTAATTTAAGATAGAAATAAATTTAAGATGCCTCTCTTTGTGCCTTTGTCGATTTTGTACGACATTTTCACTATCAGTATTAAGTACTACGTAAAGTTTTATCGTAAACTTACGATGCTGATTCCTTTAGTCTCTCGCAAGGTTCACTCGCAGAGACAGACTTGTCACATCACAATCGTTTGGCATAAAGAAGAGTTCTGCGGTAAAAAGTAAAAAGCAAAAAGCGGTCTAATCGCGGCGTTTGACATTAGTTGCTCGTCGGCGGACGAGGGCGACGACGACGCGGACCCACAGGCGAAAGCGCTGCGCGAAAAGGAGAGGCGGCAGGCGAACAACGCGCGGGAGAGGTGAGAGGGGCAGGGGAGGGGGGAAAGGGGGGGAGCGGGCTTCAAACACCCCCAAAACTCGCCCCATACCGCCACCCAGATAGACACGTTCGCCGATAAGATATACACACTCTTCTTTGTCGAGTTCCTCTGTTTTTTTCCAGAATATACGCTATGACCCAGATTGTTCGTAAGCTTTGTTATGTTTAAGTTTTGTTCATGTTGGTAGCGTTGATTGAATAATGTGTTGAATACCTTTTTTGATATGTTTAGTTTATACTATAAGGTGGGCAACCGATGAAGCGGTTAGTGAACGGTAATAGTGTTGCATTATGTCGATATCTGCTGAGCTTAATATCGACATGATTGTATGCTGCGTCTTAAACTTTAATGATATATCTAAAGAGCCCGCGTTGGATCAAGACCTTAAAGAGCACCCAGTGGATTTGAACCCTGGACTTTTAAAAATTGACTAATTACTTACTCAATCATCGGGTCTTTTGTTTGCTCCCCTATAGAAAAATTTACGAGAAAAATGCAAGCAAATAATTTTGCACCCTGTAAATTGCTCCATTACAAAGTAAACTCTTCCTTCCACAGGATGATAATTCTTGAATGTCTACTGTTTCCAGGATAAGGATAAGAGACATAAACGAAGCGCTAAAGGAGCTGGGCAGGATGTGTATGACGCACCTGAAGAGTGACAAGCCACAGACCAAGCTGGGCATACTGAATATGGCGGTGGAGGTCATCATGACTCTCGAGCAGCAAGTACGAGGTGAGTTACGAGAAAACAAATTATATTCACCGCTATTTTAAACGCCTTTAATATACTATTTATTATTGTAATAACCCCATCGGTGGAACTAACATTTTTGAACTTCTCGTAAGAATTATTTTAAACAAGTCCTCGAATATGATGACGACCCAAACGGCGTAGTCGGTAGTGTACCTGCCTTCTGTGCCAAAGGGTGTGGGTTCGATCCCCACTACTGGAAAAATATTGTGTGATGAGCACAGTGTTTTAATACATGTATAATGTGTATTTATTTACAAAAGAAAAGTATGTTTAAGTATGTCTATAAGTTTTCTAGTACCCATAGTACAAGCGTTGCTTAGTTTGGGACTAGAGAACGTTGTGTAAAAAAGAATGTGTCCTAAAATATTTATTTTATTTAAATGTTTAATTCTACTCCATATTGTTCTGCTAAAACAGGTTGATAAGGTATGCTAGAGTAAAATGTCTCAAAGTTAAATTTTAAATAGCTAACGTCAAGTAACTAGCATTATTAAATAGTAATACAACCTAGAAAAATACAATACACAAATACCATCAACTTATATCATACCTGTTTTTTCGTTCTTGTATTTATATTGCCCTTTGGACTCTGCAATTCACCGAAGAAATTTCATTACCCTTTACTCTTAACGTAAAACATTTTGGTTTGCGTTTTCTTCACTGATGAGTTTCCATTCCTTCGTACAATTTTTCTATGTCGTTGCCTATCTTTATCTATTCTAACAGGGCCTAAACTCCATCTCTTTTTCGCCCTCAGAGCGGAACCTGAATCCGAAAGCAGCATGCCTAAAGAGACGCGAAGAGGAGAAGGCGGAGGAGGCGCCTAAGCTTCTCGCGGCGCCCTTACAGCACTACCAACCCATGCCGGTATGAGATGCCTTTTGGAAATACGCTGGATTCAGTTTTAATTCCATAAAAGTACATTTAAAATTATGGTTGAGTCGTGCATGTCGTTTCAATAATGGACCTCCTTTGAATCTCCTTGGACATATGCATATAGTAGAAATATTTAGTTTCACTTCGTCTATTGAAAAGGTGACCAGAGATTTAACATCGTCCATTGTAACGACGGACTCCGACGCATAGACAAAACGTTAGCTTGATTGCAAAACTTTGTCCACTGACTTTTGGAGACTGGCAACGGATGTGCGACCCCTCAGAAGTTTTACATGTCCATGGGCGGCGGTAGTCACTTCACAGCAATCGAGCTCTCGCTTCGGCTATCGGTATCTGCTCGTATGCCAGCTTACCTTGACCTTGAAATTGACCAGACTGTGTTGTGTTGCAGGGTCTGGGCCAGCTGGGCGGGCAGCCGCCGACGGGCGCCCCGCCGCAGCAATAGCGACGCCTCGGCCGCCGCCGCGCGCCTCGCTGACACGCCCACGGCCACGGCCACGACCACGGCCACGACCTTGTCCTCGACCACGGCCGTGACCACAGCCACGACCACGGGGGCGCTTGGCCGACCACTCGTCGCTTGCGAGCGACCTGAAGCCATGTGATTGCGCGATTCTTTCGTCACTCTCACCAGTTACAGTACACGCGTACTGTGTTATGTTAGTTGTAAGTGAATTTAGTACGAAGTCATTACCATCCGCTACTTGTTGTAAATATTAATCATTTTCATTTTCTACGTTTCCCAAATTCCATTTCAATTGTTTACCTTTCGGCTTTTACAATTTTTCCACATCCGGATACATTTCGAATTTCCGCTTTCGAACTAAATTCACTTCTGCGTCCGTTTCCCAGTGATTATTGCTTTTAATTTTAACCAGCATTAAATTCGGAATTTTAATCTGCATCAAATTGTCACGCATCTCTTTGATCACGTCTACTTTATTACTCAATCGGTTACCAAGTGTCTGTACGGATTGTATAGACTTTGTCCAGAATCGCAGTGGCTTCTCGGAATCGGTCGAGCGACCGTCCCAAAGTGTTTGGTTACACGAAAATTGCAGTGCGCAGTGACCGCGTGTCGGACTATTCTAGCTCTAAGTGTGTATATTATTAGCTGTAGGCAATAAATAGTTTTATATGCAGGCCGGAGGCGGAATCCAAAATTTGTAAATTACTAGACTAGATCGTACGTCTTATGTATAGGTAGTTAACGGACATAGTGTTAGTGAACGGTGAAATATATTTGTGGAGGGGATGTTTTCATTTACGACCTTTTTTGAGGGATGTTTACTTATCGGCAGCACCGCCCCTCGTCCCGTCGACCCAAGTGATGACAATAAAGCCTCGCGAAACGACCTCTGGCCGTAAATTAAAGCCCGTCTCAATCAGGGGTCAGTGCGAAGTAGCCGGATGTATTTCCGACCTCGAAACATTGCAATGTACTCGTCGGAAACGCACAATTCCGCTGGTAACGAAAAATTAAAAAAAAACCGCGTAACATGCATTTATATGTACGAGGAAAAAGCTATGTTAACGTTTTATAAAAACAACCCATTACTTCACAACTACAATTACACAATTTGCGGGAGAGAGAGGAACAATATTTGTTGGCTTCTCTGTTTGAATGTAAGTTACGCAATGAGTGGAGAACGATGTCTCGATTTTTGGAAATAGGCCGCGCTACTTTGTCCAGTGCGAATTTGTTTCGCGGGGCAATTACCACAATCCGTCTTATAAATGCGTGGGCTCGTCACTAACCGCCATAATGTTCGCTGAACGCACGCATTTATACCAAAAAGCGGCACGGACCGAAACACGTGATGACTGCTAACTTAAGTGATGTACTTAAGAGATGTTGCTTTTCTATTTTCTCATTGTACCAAAACTCCAGTGAGACCCCATCGGTTCGGCGCTCTCGAATCGCCTACGCGTGGTCGTAGTATTTTTTTTTTATATGTATACATTATTTGTATTTTTTTTTATTTCGGTAGCTATTCGTTATAGTTTTGTTCATCCAATGAAGTACTTATTATATACACGAGCAACATGGAAATTACTTAATTTTACTATTTAAGAATATTGAACGCATGAAGTGTCTTTTAATGGAATAGTTTTGAAAGGAAATTAACGTACAATTTTTTTTGTATAGTAAACTTTCATTTGAGAATGTTAAATCGACTCAAATCATGTAATTTATTTGATGTTATTACTATTTTTAATCGCCCCCCCTAAAAATGTAACGACACTGGAGATTATTTTATCGGGCTGTATGTCGTACTTATTGATTTCTATCGTTTGTTTCTATATGTGATTTGTTTAATCTCTTTAAGATGTTCCATGACAAATTATGCACTGAATAATAGATTTACAGGTATATTGTCAATTCACTGAAGTGTACGTCGGATATGTTTGAAATAAGAGGCCACGCTGCCACACGTAAAACACGAATGAATATGGCATACTTCGTTGATATAACATTGCTGACTTTCGGCTAGCTTCGGGGTCTAAAGAAGCGTCTCATATTCCGTATAGGCGAGATCACGTGATGTGGCGTGGTTTCTTTTTTTTTATTTTATTTCGTTCTGCATTGTTTTCAATGGGCGAGATGTCAAAAAGACACTTTTCGATATCTATCTACTTCAGACCTCAAAATCTGCGCTTTCAATCGTTCAATTTTTTTTTCGAATTTACGCATCTATGTAAAGGAAATTGATTATTTAATTATTGTGTAATTAGTTTTTACGTCGAAGCGCACGCAAACGGTGCCCTTGTAAATAGATTATCTATATAGAAGCTCAATGTATCGTCAATCGATGCACGCAAGAATCGATCATGTATTTTGAATGCATTAACTATCTGTCCTATTTGTTTATCACATGACAGTTGCTTTAATAAGTCGATGGAGAGATGTTTTTTTTTTTATTGAAAAAACCCTATGAGAAACAATTACAATGTGTACTAGATTAGTAATCGGTTAGATTATGAGTAAAGTACAATATTGCTAGTTGTTTCGAAATAATCTAGTTCGGTTCAAATAGAGCCCTGTATTATATAGCGTAAGGTTGATTATTGACTGCGATGATTGTGTTGTTGGATTTCGGCTCGATCGCCGGAGTGAATGATTTGGCGAATCGTCACCAAACGCGAGCCCGCTCTTTATACGTTACGTTATAAAGTTTAGAAATTTTCTTATTGAGAAAAAGTTCAAAATATTTTTTTAGTATTCTATCGTAGCTTGTAGGCCACTTAATCATTACTTGCGACTCTTTAATTTAGCTTAGTTGACTTTCTCTTCCATCTAGAATTTAATTTAAGTTTTTTTTTAAATAATAATAATTATTATGATTTGTTGTCTGTGCATACGACGTAAGCGTACTATAAGATGACAGTTAATTGGTACATATTATAAATCCGTAATTTATTCGCAATATTGAAGCTCAGATTTTTAAGGCACCGGAGGTATTTTTTTTCTGTTCTGTTACATAAATCCTGGAGATTGTGTACAAATGAGGCTTTTTTGCAATTTATTTTGTTAATTTTTGTTTTTTTTTTTCTATTAAGGCAACACCAGCTGCCGAACACTGTATCATAGAGCATTTGATATTTTACTCCTCTGTTCAAAATTTCAAATGCATAGTTTAAAATGATATAATTACAAGAAAGCTCTAATTATAAAAATGAATAATATTAATTAAATATAAATGTGCCATTCATTTTGCTATTTTTGTGTTTTATTTCACTGTCAGATACACTGTACTTACTATTTTACGTGCTTTCAGTCAACTGTACAGAGACAAGTACTTAATGATGTTTCAAACTTGTATCTTAACCACCAGAAAATATTAAATTTCTCAACCCCTTTTAATTGACAAAATAATATGACATTTATTGTTCTGAGCCGCCATAAAAAACCTATTCGTTTTTCGTTCCTTATCTAAATATTTAACTTTGAGTACCTCTATATAAGATTGGTAACAAATAATTATAGTTCTTTTAAACATATTAACAGCCTGTAGCACTCTTTCATGGCTGCAACCATCCATTTGGTTATTATTGAATAAAACCGGACATCAGTTTGTCATAACTTTATTATTACAAAACATCCTGACAATATACATCTTTAATCTGAAAAAAGTTGAAAACTTAATTTCCTTAACAAAGACAAAAAATAAAGTTATTGACGGTTCAATATGTAAAAGGAAAACGATACTTCAAAGTATGCGACAAAGCGAGACGAAAACATAACTATATCTGATTGGATAAGACGAACAAAATCTATTTTACAGCTGTTTGTGTTGACAAAAATAGCTGCAGCATACATAAAACAATGCGTGTAAGATGGTAAGTAATATCATAAGGTGCAAAGGTTGGCGCTCTATCGCCTGTCGGTCTTGCCGACTCCCCTCTTGCCGGCGAAGAGATGCTTCGGCATCTTGGTGCCGATGAAGCGGTCGGCCTCTCCCTTCAGACCCATCTTCTTCGTCTTCTTCGCGATCGCCACGTGGGCGAGGTTCTTCGCCTTCCTTTGCATCTGTAACAACGCAACGCTTGAAGATTCAAATATCTATTCAACAGAGGAGCATTACACTCGCTAATCGATAGTCAAAATACTACCACCGGTTCGGAAAAAGAAAAGCCTGAGAAGACTGATCTGAGATTAGGATACCAACCGGGCGACATCACACATCGAGTTGTTACTTTTTGCCTAAATAAATCTATCTATCATCTAATTATGAATGTTATGTGTTTTTTATAGCAAACTTATAATATTGTGGTGCTTGAAATGTTAAATTGTTAACATGGCATATTAATAATTTTAACAACTATTAAAAATGAACAACATACACGTAAAACTGGAGAGGCGCTTTGATGAATTAAGCAAAATAAATCGGTACATAAACCTACAATTAAAATTTGTACTTGACGTGGGTGATGCGCGATAACTATAAAGTGAAAATTAACGCGCGACCATAACATCAATAATTAATATGGGCCTCGTGCACACCGAGACAAAGCATAGACTCTGTCCGGCTTCGATCAGGCCTAGAGCTAAGGAGGGAAAGAGACGGAGGCAGAACGAGAGGGAGGGGCGTACCGCGACGTCCTTGACGCCCTGCGTGTCGCGCGGCGGGCGGCTGACCGAGCGAGAGGCACTGCTGGTGCGCGCTCGCTTGCTCGCCGGCGCCGACAGCGAGCGCGAGCGGGACCGCGTGCGGGTGAAGTGCGCCGTCTCGCTCTCCGACATGTCCACGCCTGCGGCCATTAAAAGGTGCTCGTAAAACATCCTGTCCACACCTGTTTTGTGCTTATTTCAACCTCATTCAGATGAGTACTTAAATATTTAACTACGTGGCAATAAAGACTGTTGAAATAGTGCCTATTGCCACCATAACTACACCTTTTCTAAATTAATTGAAGCGACACATATTCTTTTAAAACTATGTTAGACCTCCAAGCATAGAAGAGTTTTACTTATTTAAAATCATTCATAACCACATTTAGTTCATATATTATCAATATTGTTATTGATTCCAATGTCCCATAAAGATAGATGTCAATTATTCAACTATAGCAATAAAACTAATCTGTTATTATTAATTACAACCCAAGTCACACAAATACTAGAAGTCTACGGTCATATATATTTAGGTTGATCTTAATTGACCCAGCATAAACATCTCATGATCTTCTGTCACCCATCGGGGGCGGCCTTATGCCACCGAGCACAAGAAACTGTTAGCGGCTGCCTCACCGAGCTTCTCCATCTGGTCCCTGAGCTGGGAGGCGGAGCGGCCCTTGGCGCGGGCGCGGCTGGTGCGCGGCATCACCGGCTTCGTGGACTGCTTCGTCAGCCGCGACTCGTCCTTCAGGATCGCCTTCTTGTTGCTGCGGACGGGGAAAGGTAATGATCAGTCAACACTCAATTCAAACAAGCGGATGGGCAGACAGCAAATGCTATACAGACATTTCTGTATTAAACATGGATCATATAACCATTTTTTTTACTAACGAAAAACAAAACCGGCCTCAAATATCTCGCTTTGTGTCATTTTATAATTGATTTTCAAGAGTTCCCTAAGTATCTCCGGAGCCCAAGATCCAATACAAATGAAATTAATATGCGACCACATGGGAAGCACCACCTTTCACATAAAAAAAGAATCAACAAAATCGATTTACTCAGTTGAAAGTTCTGAGGTAACATATATAAAAAAAATACAGTCGAATTGAGAACATCCACCTTTTAAAGTCTGTTGATAATACAATTTCACTGTTCAGTGCTCCTTATCAACACATGCTTGATGGATATCACCAAATATATAGTATTAATCAATTGGATTATGCATGCAAACATGTTTATTAAAATAGATAACTAAATAAATGAAATAGATAAACTTTTATCATACTTATTCCTGCCCTGTAGTTTTAATTGTTTCCCAATATAGCCAAGCATCATCCACATAAAATACATATTGTGTGAACATGGCTTCAATCAATCTTTTGTGTGTTACACAATCACAGAGTGATAATTACAGATATCAAAAAACTATTTTGGTGGGTTTGACAGCGACCACCGTTGGCACAATTTATTAACATCTAGTTTGTACACATGTACTTGTAGTCATGTTGGGTAATGCCCGCCGCTCTTATGAGATTACGATGGGCGACCATAAACGCGACCTTGCACTCGGCCGCGGTTTGACCGACGCGAGGTATCGTGCCTCGGTCAGCTTCGATCGGGCCTTATTTGACTACTCCTTGCAACTACCTCTGTTTATCTTATAAGTTCTCATGTCTTTTATCATTAAATCATCGAGCTAAATTCAAAATTAAAAGTCAACAAGTAAACTAGCAAACTCATTTTCAAAAGATTCTAAAATATGTAGAAAAAGTACGAAAAGATTGTCGCCGCTGTGGGGATCGAATCCACGTCTTCGGCATTCGCGGCATGCCGAAGAGCAATTGCGTTCGAACTATCGTTGTAAAACGATATTCGAAATTGTTTGTATGCTGGAAAGGATATAACAATGGATGCGCCAAGCATTGCTTCAAATGCTAAAAAACAATGTAGATAAAAGACGTTAAGATTTTCGTCGGTGTGGCCATCAGCCGTTTAGCTTAGTTTTTGTGCAAAGATTAGCACTATAAACAACTTAAATTTATATGATACTAATTTTTAAAGCCCTATTTGTTGCATTTAAAATGAAATTTAAATTTATTAGAAGAATGGACGAAAAATTTTTCAACACTGCGAGGATTTGACTTTCTCCGAGATAAGCACCCTAGTTACTGACTTATCTTCATATCGACGAAAATCTCAACGTATTTTCCCATTTTTCTACAAATCTTAAATTTCAAGATATTTACTAAAAGCATATACTAAATAAATGCATATTATGGCTTATAATTTGAAAAAAAGCAGATGATAGATTCCGGTTTGAAGCAAGTCTAATGTTAACAAACGAATTTCATCTTTGACTCACCGGATCTGCCGCGCGAGGTCCTTTATCTCGCGCATGGTCTCGTCCAACTCTATCTTGGGCACAGCGTACATTCCACCAGCGATCCGCAGTTCCTCCTCTTTCTCCAGCTCGGCCAGTTTCTGCGACATGACAAGAATAATGCAATTGTTCAACAAAAATTAAGTTTATTGTTTATCTTATCTGTGGTAGCATACTTTGATGCCTTTTAAATCAATGCCTTTCCAAGGTATTTGAAAGAGTTACCAATAATAAATAAATAATGAAATAGTGTGATTTTTACTATAGAAATCCGCCATTTTTTTGTTGTCAATATGTCAATTCATTGCCTAGATTAAGGGTCCTTATAAATTATAGATTAGAAGAACATCTAAGTCGTGTATAAAACCATTTGATTTTAAAATGGAACATAGGAAAGAAGCACATAGTAAATGTAGTTGTGTAAAATTAACACTTACATCGAATATATCCGGGTCTATATAGTCCGCGATGTTGTGACCCTCCCAGAACTCCGGGATGGGGTCGTACCTCTCCTCTTCCGGGATCTCAGTGTAGTTCTTCTGTAAGTCTAGAATAGCAGAGAGGCGTCGATTAAAATACAAGCAAAAAGTACAAGTAAATAAATGTAACATATTTAGGACTAGAGGATGTGACATTATACAAGTTTGAAAACAAATGAGAAATGGTACAGGCACAAGGTAGAGAAGTAGTAAAAGCAATTATGTCGAGGTCGTGGTACGTACCCGGACGAGCCTGTCCATTCGGATTAGAGTATTAGAGAATGTTGTGCAAAAACGTGTCCTAAAGCAGATCCCCCGCACAAACACAATGGGGTAGTTCGGTTATACTACAGTTAACCCCCCCCCCCCCCCACACACACACACACACAAACACAATTTCGGGGCAGTTCAGTGACAGTAGCGTTAGTTAAGTGACAGTGGAGCGAGCTCGCCGTACCGAGCACGTAGTCGTCGCCCTGCTCCAGCTCGATCTCGCGCTCCAGCTTGCGCTTCCTGGCGAGGCGCTCTGCGCGCTGCTGCAGGCGCCTGGCGGCCGCGGGCGGCAGCACCGGCGGCCGGGCGCGGGCGTCGCGCGCCGCCGGCACCGCCACGTGCAGCCGGTTCAGGATGCCGTCCACCTGGGCGCAGACACGGTCGCTTTACGGCCGTTGGGCTCATCGCTCACGATCCTCGCGGTCGAGGGATCCGCGAGTGAGGTGGCCGGGGCCTGATTTATTAAGTTGTTAAAAGTTCGCAACGCCTCTGCAACCCTACGGGCGTCAGTTAACACTTAACATCAGGTCAACCGCCAGCTAGCTCGCCGACTTGCCGCGTTAAAAAAATTCTTCCACCCGCCGCTTTATGCTACACGAAATTATCCCCCGAGTTATAAGAATTTTCACCTAAGCACAAACCGTACATAGACGAGCATCTAGATCATTTCTGGGCGGCCAGATCCTTGTCTAGGTCTCTGTAGGTAAGGATGTGTGCGACAACATATGCCACTGAGTAGTTCCACTGCATTAACTATGCACTACAACAACTGAAGGAAACTTCTACCTTCTTACTCCTCATCTTCTCGGTGACGCGGTGGCCCAGCAGCCTCTCGCAGGCCTCGATCTTCACCTCCTGAACGCCCTCGTCGGTCAGAGTGGACATGCGCATCACTGGCACCGTGCGCAGTTCAGAGTTCGAGTCTGCGCTGTAATTGAAACAAATATATTAGGCCTGTCATATTACTAACGTAACTATGTGCTATCTGGTTGACTACCATCTCACTTAATTGTAAGTTGTAATATAGCTGAATGCGGTGAACACACTCAGTAAAAGCCTACACTCTTGCCTTGACGACACGTTGTAATAAGATGTGAAATTAGAGAGAATTGATTCATTTTCTGGAGCATTATGAAAAGATAAAGTGAACCGTCTGAACGGTCAACAATAAAAGGATTGAGTTGCTAGTCATTCACCAGCACAAAATGGTGTGGGGTTTTACTGTGTATTCCATACACTGATTGAATTCTGAATCTATGCCTGAATCTAGGCATGTATTCTTCTTAGTTGAAAATCCTAGAAATATCTATATAAACATACAGCGTGTCGTTACCACCGCGACAATAAATGAACACATATATAGAGGATAACTTTTTCAAATTGTAATAAACATTTACTTTCTTTAAACATCAATATTTACCGAGTTATTTTCCAAAAAAAAAAAAAACAATTTTAGAACAGCCTTACGTATAAAACTGGAACGTAAAGTTCATTTGTAAAGGTCACAAAGCATATGAATGGGTTGAATTAATTTAAAAGAGACAAAACATACTGTTAGAAGGAGAGGCTTGTAATGCGACGCCATGGCAACGAATGAAAAAGTCTCTGAATGTATGAATTAGTCAGTTGTAATTGTAAAGGATGTTTCAAATTTTGTTTCTTTTTTACTTAATTAGTTTGTTTGAAAAATAGTTTTTTTTAATAATGGATTTTGTTTAACGTTAATATTTTTTTATGATTATTGGCAATTAGCGTTAGACGTGTGTTCATTTATTGTCGCGATGGTAACGACACGCTGTATAATAGATGATGGAGAGGAAAAGGTATATAAAACAAAAAAATAAATAGAGTTAGCTACTCACTTGACTACATTGCCTTGAGCGCAGGCTTGTTCCAGTTCCTCGATGAGCTGTCTCTTGGGCTCTGTCAACTCCTCAGGTCGCACCACATCCACTTTGTTTAGTACTACAATCAGTGGCTTATTGCTGAACAGTGGCTTGATGCTCTCAAACAGGGATATCTACAAAGATTGACAGTGGTTACAACCCTGAGTGACAACTCATCCCTTATTCATACCCTAAATTTTTGCATGAGACTTGAATTATACACGGAGGCTTTTCTAAGTGTATCCATTTTTTTATTAAATTCTAGACATAAATACTGTTATATTAAAAAGGATAAATATTTAAAATCACTCATAAGTAATTAATTACATTCATTTGAACTTATCTCAAAAAGTGCGTGATTTATACGCAACTCATTTATTTTACGCGCGATCATTCATTACTAACACGCACACAAGGTCGTGCACAGTAAAATTTAGGTATTTAGGTATTTATGAATGACTACCGCATTGTCAACAAGTTCTGTATTTTAGGGAATAGTTATATTTTTTTTTTGAAAAAAAAAAATTGCTTGTTTTTTGTTCCAATAAACGATTATACTACAGTCTGAACCTCCGGTGTAAATTTGGGCACTTCTCAAAAACGCCTCCCTGTATAATTTTAAAATAAGTCAGTCATCTTTCTACACTACTATTTACCAATTAGAGACTCTACCTGTTCCTCAATACTGTGACCGCACTGCTCCGAAGGATCAATGAAGTAGAGAACAGCAGCTCTTAAATGCGCCAGCGCTGTCACCGCCTGCATTTCTATAACATTTCTCTCCTCCAACGGGTGGTCTAGAATACCAGGTGTGTCTATTACCTGCAAAGTTGATGATTAAGCTCTCTTTATCTACTCTCTTTTTATATTTTTATCTCATATCTTCAAACATAAAAATAATTGATAGATAGTGCTAGCCAGCTTAATATTTATCCTTAAGGTGGATTATATAGATTAGGATTTTAAACAGGTTAATACAATTCCAAATCATGACATGAGATAGTGAGCATGGTATAGCGAGAAACAATTAGTTTTGCACTTTACAAATCCGATAGCTCTTCTTGCTACATGCTCATGTACATAGATCCCAATCTGATCCAAAAATAACTTTTAATAGACAAAAAGTATAAAGTTAGCATATGACTTACCTGCCATCTGAGGTACTTGTAGTCAGTGTGTCCTACGTACAAACTTTTCGTTGTGAATGCGTAAGGCTGCACTTCTACATCAGCACGGGTTATCTGCAAAAATATATTTTGGCGTTGAAATTGTATGACGACGCTATAAAATCTTTCAGAGTTAAAAAAAATAACTAAGTTACTATACAATATATTATTATTATTATTTATACAGTCAATACCTTGTTAATGAAGCTTGACTTGCCGACATTGGGGAATCCACAGATAATTATTGTGCGGGTGTATGGATCGATTGACGGCAGCCTGGCGAGATGTTGTCGGACCTGATTGGATCAAATATGTTTTATTTTACATGCAAGCAGAATGAAAACTAATAAGATTCAGATACAAGCTGCCACCTAAAACAACAAGAGATTCAAACACATCCGAACACAGATATTCTGCATTAATTCTACATGTACACTGACAAAAAAATGATTTCATAATTAAAATATTATATTATTTATATATAAGCACATAGCTTTAAGAACTGATAACGGATGGAAAAGAAAGATTAGCGAGTGGCAACCTCGTATTGGCCATAATTGTGTAGTATAACCTCCCACTAGATGGAGTAACAAGCTGTATAAACGTATGGGAAGTCAATAGATGCAGGTGGGTTAAGATCTTGCAAACCGTTTGAAATTATAATGGTGATGATGATTTATATACTAAAATTGAAATTCATCAATTCAACAATCATCAAGTGCTAACTTTATTAATACCTAATATGCAAATGATACAGAATCTGTAATGTTAGAGGGGATTTGTGGATAACAAACCTGTTCCAGATATGTGAGGTTGGCAGCCTGTCGTTTCATAATAGTAGCCATCCTGCCCAATGCAGCGCGCTTGAGCTGTTTGCAACGGTACAATGAGTCACCATATTTGAGTAGTCTGACATAATCCTTTGCTACACTGTGAAAATAGAAACAAGTTGAGTAAAGTAACAAGCCTATATAATGTATGTGCCACTGCTGGGTAAAGGCCTGTATACAGAGGGTATAGATTGGATAGTCGACCAAGCGACCCCCCCTGCGGATTAGCGGATATATCTCTGAAATACTTGCTATTATTTCGAAAACATTCAGGTTTCATCACAATGTTCACCACAGCAACTGATATATTAACACTTAAAATTCCAATTAACTTTGCTGTACTGTTAATTGCAAGAAGTGTTTGCAAGAGCTGCTTCCGATAATTCTGGAGTAAGTTTTTAATTTAAACATTATGATGAAATAAAGAGTAATTAAATATTGAATGTTTTCTTAAATATTGTTTTAAAGGGTATTTGTAAAGTATTGTTGTAGTATAAATGTAATTATTAAAAAGTATGATAGTATGAATGATGAAAAAAATACATATTAACAATGTGAACAGTTGGGGGAGGACACACAAACATTTTGCAGATTAACAATACACTAAAAGGAAATTACAAAATATCCATAAATGTATTGCATGACTAGTAGTATGGAGCTGTTGGTATGTTTTATTTTATTTATTTAATCTTTATTGACAACCTTAAGTAAAATAAGGTAACAAAGGGCAGACTTCATGACCAAAGGCATTCTCTACATGAATATACATATTTTACATCACAGCGTGTCTTTACCATTGCGACAATAAATGAACACACAAATAGAGGAATTCTTTTTAAAATTATATTAAAGATTTACATTCTTTAAACATCAATATTTAACGAGTTATCTAATTTTCCAAAACAAACAATTTTAGAACACCCTTACATATAAAACTTTAATGTAAATTTCATTTATAAAGGTCACAAAGCATATGAATTGGTTGAATGAATTTAAAAAGAGACAAAACATACTGTTAGAAGGAGAGGCTTATAATGCGGCACTGTGGCAATGAATGAAAAAGTCTTTGAATGTATGAATCAGTCAGTTGTAGTTGTATAGGATGTTACAAATTTTGTTTCTTTTTTACTTACTTTGTTTCAAAACAATTTTTTTATAATTATGGTTTTTTTTAACGGTAATATTTTTTTATGATTATTGGCAAGTAGCGTTAGACGTGTGTTCATTTATTGTCGCGGTGGTAAAGCCACGCTGTATATTGATAAATCATACTTGTCAATCAGATGGCGGGCTGTGTTGAGTTGACCGAGACCAAGTTTGTAATGATCCTTATCGTAAAGCACATTCATAAGATCCGCATAAAAAGGGTGAACATCATCTAACTTGGGGAATTCCTGAAACAGATAGTAGAATTATTACAGAGATTCTTTCCCATTATTGTATAATGTTATATACATTACAAACTTATTTTGATAGTTTGCTGAAATTTGTAAATTCACTGAATTTGAAGCAATCACTGAAATATATGTATTTAGGTAGGTACCTGGATAATCCTAGACAATCTGTCGTGAAAATTTTGCTGTGTAAATTTCACTTTCCTTATATAGAAGGCGCGTATACGTGTAATTTTATAATGTTTATGTACAACTGTTGGTGTTTTCCTTTGCGTCTTCGATAATATTATATCGATAAAGTCCTGAAAATTAAAATACATTAATTTTAGGTTATGATATTGTAAAATGTTATTGAAATATGTAATTAAATTTCATTTAACGTACCTTAGCAGTGGGGACCACAGCAATCTTTTTAAAGTTATACAAACTCATTTTTATTTAGATTGTTGTTGTTTTTAAAAATAAATATCGACACGCAGAATCCACACGTAAACACGTGCAGACCTGCGGTTTTAAAAGGAATAAGATTTGACAATCATCTGTCATCTGTGACATTGTCTGTCAATCATTGATGGAGCCAAAATTGAATTAAATTAATATTTAAGGTTTATTAGATAATATGTAATTTTAGATAGATTTAATCTTGTAAATATTAGATCAATAAAGATTGTAAAAATAAAAAAAAATATATATTTTTAAATTGCTTAGCACAGAATACCTTTACCCTAGAGCTACATTGATGTGTGTGTCACAACTTACGCTTTTGAAGATATTTATCAAATATTATATATGTAGGAATAAGCATATAATGGAAGAAAGGCGGGAAACTTTGAAAGCTAAGCGCGCGTTTTTTTTCTCTAAATCACATTTATTTAATTTTAGTGATAATAATCAGAGAAGTTTTGTGTATATATGTAATTTTTTTACTTTGTGTAGTTAATTATTAATAGTAATAGTTTAATTTCTATACCTAGGTAAGTTTTATATATTTTATTATAATGAATGAACCCCCTGATCCCGGGGGTGGAGTCCCCGAGGTTGCGTACAATGTAGAAGTTTCTAATGGCGAGTCTTGTATGGACACTGATGCGTCGAATACTCTTATCATTAGAAAACGCTCACGTTTGCAGAAAATTTGCAAACATTGCAATAAAAAAAGGAGGAGCAGTCATTCTGGTACTAAGAATGACCAAACTAAGCATGCCTGTCATTGCGATAGTGATGAGAACAGCACCATTCTAAATAATGTTGCATCACCAGTAACAACAGAATCAAAAGAGCCCGAGCAACTTAGTGTCGAATATAGAAAGATTTACCAAAACAGTGACTTATCACCTTATATTATACATGTTCAAAAAGAAGTATCTTCATTTAATGATGGTACTTCATTCCACCCTGTGTCCTTTGGCAATTTTCTAAAAAAAAATGCATTTAGGAATATCATCAATGGCAGTATAAAAAAAATTGGTAGGAACAAGATTTCCCTTGCATTTTCCAATTTTACTGATGCTAACACTTTTATTAATCATCCTTCTTTGTCTACACAGAAATTAAAAGCCTTTATTCCAACCTTCAACATAACTAGGATGGGTATTGTAAGAGGAGTGCCAGCTGAATGGTCCCCAGATGAAATTAAAAATAACATAACTGTGCCAATGGGTTGTGGTGAAATTTTAAAAATAAGACGATTAAATTATAAAACAACTGTTGATGGGTCTCCAGTTTGGAAACCTTCACAGACAGTAGTTATAACATTTGATGGTCAGGTTCTTCCAAAACACATTTATATGTGCTATAATGCTTTATCTGTCGAACTTTACACATATCCTACTATACAATGTTACAACTGCTGTCGATATGGTCACACTAAAATTCAATGTAGGTCCAAACCACGCTGCTTTAAGTGTGGAGATGTTCATACAAGTGACTCTTGCAATAAAGATGATGACTGTGCTTTCTGTTTCCTTTGTTCTGGGTCACATTTTGCTATTAGCAAATCATGTCCTGAATGGGCTAGACAAAAACAAATAAAATTGACCATGGCACAAAACTGCATCTCATATGCAGAGGCTTCCAAAATGCTCCCCCCTGTCACTAAGTCTTATGTTGACATTCTTAAATCTGTTCCCTCTAGCACATATTCAGCTGAGTCTATGAGGCCACAACATTCTTTGTCATCACATATTAACCAACCATTGAAAAACTCATATAAAAAGACAGTTTCTTTAAAAACTCGACCTCTTCCCCATTTCAACAAAGGCTATGACAAAGCAGCTCATCAAGCTCTAATTAAGGACTTTGAAATCCCAATGTCGTCTAACGGATGTGCATTAACACCCAATGGGAATGAAAAACAAGACATATTTACAGATGTTGTAATTCCTTTAATTAATTCTTTGTTACTAAGTAAAATAATTTCACCGAACAACGTTGCTCAAACATTTGATATTCTTAAACAAATTCTTAACAATGGACAATCAAGCCAAAGTTATACAATGGAATTGCAGGAGCATAGTTAATAAAAAAAAGTGAATTGATATATTTGATTAACAAATTTAATCCTTTCCTTATCTCTCTTTCGGAGACTTGGCTGCGGCCAAATTTATCATTTAATATGCAAGGATACATTTGCCATAGAAAAGACAGATTGGATGGATATGGTGGTGTAGCAATCTTAATTAAAAAAACTGTTATTTTCACGTATGTTCCACTGCCTCCACACTCTGATAACTTTTCGGCAATTGCGATTTCATACAATAATGTTTGTTATGTATCTATTTATGTTCCTCACCCATCTCAACAAGTTTTAAATGAAGTTAATCATCTCTTATCTTCACTGAAAAAGCCATTTTTGGTTATGGGTGATTTTAACTGTCATCATCAATCCTGGGGTAGCTCTTTTTCTAATCCTAATGGAGATCTAATGTTAGATATCCTTGATCATCATAATTTATGTGTTCTAAATACTTCAAAGCCGACAAGACGTACAGAACCGAATGAGAGTGTGAGTGCTGTAGATTTATCTATATGTACTCCCAATCTTTCTTCTGTTCTAGAGTGGGACATTTTGTCTTCTACTTATGGCAGTGATCATTTTCCAATAATTATTTCGTTTCCTTTCTATAACCTTCCAAATCAAAAAGTTCCGCGTTCACGTATGAAATACAGATTAAGTACTAAAGGCTGGGATACTTACAAAAGCAACACACTACAGAACGTTTCTACCTTGCCAGATGTCCAAAAATTTTATGAAATTGACTCCTATAATGCTTTTGTAAATTTTCTTAATAACGCTGCGGAACAAGCTTTTCCTTTAAAAGAAAATACCTACCAAAAAGCTTCACCCCCGCCATGGTGGGATAAAGAATGCTCTGAAGCTGTTAAAAAAAGAAAGACTGCAGAAAGACAATATTGTTCATCTATGACATCAGAAAATTTTGAAAGTTTTCAAGTTATAAGTACCAACACACACAAAATTTTAAAGATGAAGAAAATCGAAGGGTGGAAAAATTACTGTTCATCGATCTCTCCTAATACTAATCCTTCAGTTCTCTGGCAAAATATCAGACGATTCAGATGTAGTAAAATTAGTTCTCCCTCAATATCTCTTCCAATAGATCTTGCTGAAGATTTTACAGACCGACTTGCCCCCCCTTTTGCTCCAGAATTTCGCCACCCAAATTTAGAGTGTAATTTAAACGATCACTCCGAATTAGCCTCGCAGTTTTCTATGTCAGAATTAAAAGGCATATTATCATATCTTAAGGATTCTGCCCCTGGGGAGGATGGTATTATATACTCTTTTATTTCAAATTTAGACGAAAAAATTTTGTCTTACTTTTTAAATCTTTTAAATTCTATAATAGCAACTAGCAATATACCAAAGTCTTGGCAAACACAGGAAATCATTGCTATTCTTAAACCCGGGAAACTTTCTACTGAGGCCACATCTTACAGGCCAATAGCATTATCATCTGTAATAGGTAAGCTTGCAGAACATTTAGTGAAAAACCGGCTTGAATGGCTTGCTGAAAATAAAAAATATAATAGCAAGCAGTCAATTTGGTTTTAGGAAAGGAAGAGGTACGATAGATAGCTTGAGTATTTTAACTACTGATATAAGACTGGCGTTCACAAATAATAATTTCCTTCTATCTGCGTTTTTAGACATAAATTCTGCATATGATAGTGTTCTTCCGCATCTGTTACGGCAGAAATTAATTGATTTAAAAGTTCCAAAAATATTCATTAACTTCATTTATAACATGTTATATGAGAGGACTATACATATTTTTTTAGAAAATGGACATAAAATATCCAGGACGACTTGGAAAGGATTACCCCAGGGCTCTGTTCTTAGTCCGTTACTCTATAATATATACACTTATGATTTAGAACATTTCCTTAATGGGTCTGCAAATATTCTACAGTATGCAGATGATTTACTTCTGTATGTTTCGGATGAATCTGCTCATAAAGCTTGTGAGTGCTTAAATTACTCTTTGCGTCTATTGAGTATTTGGAGTGAATCAAATGGTCTTGAATTGTCTGCCTCTAAAAGTACCACTGTAATATTTTCCAGAAAACGTGTTCTTCCAAAAATCCACATTTCTTATAAAAAATAGTCCAATTCCAGTTAAGAATAATGCAAAATTTTTAGGTCTAATATTGGACTCAAAACTTACTGGCATTCCGCATTTCGATTATGTAGTAGCAAAATGTGAACGTCAACTAAATATGTTAAGATGCCTTTCTGGTGTATGGTGGGGTGCGCACCCCATCTCCTTAAAGTTAGTTTACAACGCTATCATTAGAAGCATTGTAGATTATGGTACATTTTTATTGGAACCTTGTAACGCATCTGGTCTTAAAAAAATCGATTTAATTCAATCAAAAGCTTTACGAATAATATCTGGTGCAATGAAATCCAGTCCCATTAATGCTCTTCAATTAGAATGTGGAGATCCGCCGCTCCACTTAAGAAGACAATATTTAGCTGATAGATTCCTGTTTCGTTGTTTACAAATTTTAAACCATCCTTTAATAACAAAACTACAAACCTTATGTCAAGTCATTAATTCATCTTCGTATTGGAAACTCAAGGAATTGCCATGTCTTGTTAAAAGTTACCAAAAATATCTTGCTATTGAAGCCCCCATGTATCGTTCCAAAACTCTTCCACTGTTTGAAACCGATTATAAAATCTTGACTCTTACACCCTCCATAAAACTCAATGTTGGAATAAAAAAAGATGAAATAGAAATTCATACAGCTTTTAAATTCATTATTGAAAATAACTGGGAGAATTGGCACTATATATATAGTGATGCTTCTAAACATACCAATAATAGTTGTGTTGGGGTTGGAGTATTTCATTCTCAGTATAATATTGTACAAAAAATTAAATTACCTCCCGAATCATCAGTATTTACTGGGGAATGTTTTGGTCTATTTCGCGCAGTAGAATATATATTATTAACAAACTTATGTAAAGCTATAATTTTTACGGACTCTCTAAGTTCTTTACAAACATTAGCACATTTTCCGCTTAAATCAAAATGTCAATATCCTATAATTTTAGAAATAAGAAAATTGTTATACAAATGCCAAGTTAAAAACATTACAGTAGTTTTTGCATGGATTCCCGGGCATAGCGGCATTAAAGGAAATGAAAAGGCAGACGAGTTAGCAAATGAAGCCGTGTTAAGCGGTGATATATATCCTTACACTAATTATTGTCACGATCTTCTTTCCTTGTCGAAGCGATATTTGAAAGAGTCCTGGGAACATTACTGGACATCTCCTAGCCTAGTGAAAGGAAAATTCTACTCCTCAATTCAACCGACAATTCCAAATAAGCCTTGGTACACTCAAGTCAATTTAAATAAATATTGTACTAGTTCTTTAATTCGTTTGCGATTAGGTCACTGCTGTTCTCCGTCTTTTCTGTTTAAGATTCATGTTGTAGATACTTCTTTATGTGCTTGTGGAACGGAAGAAGGAAATTTGAACCATATTTTCCTTTCTTGCCCATTATATGACCGCTCCTCTCTTTTTACTGATCTTCTATTGCTCCGGATACCTTTTCCTATTAATATACCATTCCTTTTAGCATATAACGACCCTTGTGTATATAAAACATTAGCTTCATTTATTCAGAAAAATGCTATAAAACTATAGTATAATTTGGTTAATAGGTTTATATATATAAATGTATGCGTATGTATGTGTGTATATATGGGTATATATATATATATATATATATATATATATATACATATATATGTGTGTATATATGTATATATATTATGTGTATTTGTGTAAATACGATATTAATAAAACTAAATATTCTGTAATTAATAATACTTTATCACATTGAATATATGTATCGTAAATCTTCTTGATTATTTTCCTTTTTCCAAATTCCGCTTCCTAGTCCTGTTGAAATAAATTTATATTTCAACAAAACCACTGTTTCCTTCCTTTTACTTGTCATTGGCATAAAGGATAACAAAATGCCACAAAAAAAAAAAAAAAAAAAAAAAAAAAAAAAAAAAAAAAAAAGCATATAATGGATAAACTTAAATAACAAAACATAATTGTTTTAAATTATCAAACTTATAATGCATCTGCATGCCTGTGGACTTCAATGAAGAATTCATAGTTCCCCAGGGATAAATTTTTTATCTATTTCTGTATTTATTTTAAATTAATGATTTGACGCCACACATTAAGCGTGGTGGTAGGGCCACGCAGCAGCCTCGGCTGCAGCACGAATGGGCAGGCTCGTCCGGGTACCACGACCTCACAGAAGACCGGCCTAAAGTGGAAGTGTAATAATTTCGCGATTTGTCTGGTGAGTGAGGTGGCCGGAGCCCAATTTTCAAAAGATTGTCAACGCATCTGGAATCCACGGGTGTAGCAGATGTCCATGGGAGGCGGCGGGCGGCCACTTAACATCAGGTGAACCGTCTGCTCGCTTGGCAACTTTTAACATAAAAAAAGAATACAATATCATTGGCAGCCTAAAGATGCTACCCGCCTTTGAATTTACTTGCCTTTTAATTACTTAAGCCTTGATTATGTATGTATTTATTGTTATTTCTTGTGTTCAATTTTTATCTTTGTTTAAGTAACAATAACAACACGACGACATTTAGAAGCAGCCAGGCACAAGATTGTATCGAGTGTACGCTACGCGGAGACCTCGCACTTGCTATCGAGTGGGCTGAGCTGTATATGTGTTAGTTAATATATGTACTACATGCCGCAATAGACGCGGTGAGACAAAGAGTCTTTTCCAAAGTGACACGTTGTTGGACAGTATCAGAAAAGTTCAATTATTTATGGCATCCGTTAATGAATCGTCTGTATTTACAATATAAATTTTACATTCATAAGTCGACGTAATCTTGAATGGTCTTAATCTTGGATGGATTCCGAAAGCCACCAAACCATTTCGCTGAGCCACCAAATAACCAACGGACTTGAACGGGTATCAATTCTTTTAAAGTGTCTTATCGACGCTTTTTAAGGAAGATGGGCAAACAGCGTACTGCACTTCACAAAAAATGAATTAGAACCATAATCATAAAAACTTAAATTATCTCATTGCTGTCTGGTAACTGCTGGTAACATTGATTAAATGTCAAGGAGGATGTTTGATTGTTTGGCGTTTGCCATTTTCTCTTCAAGTTTCACTTCAATTTCATTTCAATATTAGAGAATAGTTTACTTGTGGAGGTTAAGATATTTTATGAAATATGAACAATCAATATCGTTGTATATTGTGAATAAGAAAAATATAATATATTTGGTTCACTGTTTCTCCCAAAGTTTTGCGTATATCGTGTAAGTAAAAATATTTCACCATTATGCTTTTGTTTCTCTTTCATGAACCGGTGTCATATTAGAGGCTATTAATCGAATTGTATCGCTCAAGTTCAATAAATATCGCTCAATTTACGATTCTTAAAAAATTGCTGTATTGCAATGTGCAACATAACAATTCTGCGCGAATTAATTTTCGAAACCGTATTATGTCATTTATCTTCGCACAACGCCTTAAGATTTCATTCGAGTCGCGAAGATTTCGTTTATTTAATGGATGAAAAAATCTTTCCTATTGTTTGCAATTACATTATATGTCGGTTCTATTAGATGTCATCCGTTACTCCTAGGCAACTAAGATTTAAAGATGTGTAAACCTATTTTCCTTTGCTTAAGTTCAGCCTAGGTACGTCTTCAATTTGATTTTTATTGCTTAACTTGTAAATAAATTTCATTTCCTGATTTAAAACTTTAATCTTCTATGTCCAAGAAAAATATTTGATCACATGTATCCTTTAAACCACCTTGATATTGCTCAATATCTACTAAGTAATAATAACAGGATGTATATTGTGGCTCAAAGTTAATGTAAATTATTGCTTAATAAGTAAATTCCTAAATAATATTCTGGATTAACTTATACAGTGAGTGGTATGTTACATTCCAGGATATTAATATATACCAAGCAAAATGTATTCAAGACTTGGCCACTTTGGAGCTGTCCAGAACCGTCTGTTATTATCTAGTCGAAAATACAGTGGCAGTATACTTAAAAAGAAAGAATCTGTTGGGAAAAGTTTACAACCTGGAAAATTAACACATGGGTTCCTGTGTTCCGAGGTTGAACATATCAAAGAATACAATATGACTGCATATTTCCTTACACATGAGAAAACAAAGACTGAATATCTCCATTTGGAAAGAGATGACTCCAATAATGTATTCTCTGTTGGCTTCCGCACTACACCTCTTGATTCTATGGGCACTCCACACATTTTAGAGCACACAGTGTTATGTGGTTCTGAGAAGTATCCTGTCAGAGATCCATTTTTTAAAATGTTAAACAGGTCTTTAGCCACATTTATGAATGCATTAACTGGCCCCGACTACACCTTTTACCCATTTTCCTCGCAAAATGAAATTGATTACAGGAACCTTCAAAAAGTATATCTTGATGCAGTTTTTAAACCCAACTTGTCTAGACTTGATTTTCTTCAAGAGGGTTGGAGGCTAGAACACTCTAATTTAGAAAATAAATCCTCAGATATGGTTTTTAAAGGTGTAGTCTACAATGAAATGAAGGGTGCCTTTTCGGAAACAAGTTCTCTCTTTGGTCAAAAATTCATTAACACCATTTTACCACAAGGCACTTATGGTTTTGTATCTGGAGGTGATCCACTATGCATTCCTGATTTAACACATGAACATTTAAAAAATTTCCATGCCACACACTACCACCCCAGTAACGCTAGAATTTATTCTTATGGAAACTTTCCACTTGAAACTAACTTAAAATTTTTGAATGAAACATATTTAAGTCAATATCAGTACTTAGAACCAATAAATACTATTGTGTCACCTCAAGACAGATGGCAGGAGCCTAAAAGAGCCACAATTTCATGTAGAGTTGATCAGTATGGTGGCCCAGTGGAGAAACAAAATCAAATTGCAATAGGCTTTGTAATGTCAGATATAACAAACATTTATGAGACATTTATGCTTAATGCTCTTGCAGAGCTTATGATAATTGGGCCAAATTCAGAATTTTACAAAAGTCTGATTGAAAAGAACATTTCTGGTGGCTACAACTCATTGACTGGGTATGACAATCAAATCAGAGATACACTCTTTGTTGTTGGTCTAAGAGATGTTGAACAAAGAAACTTTGAGTTAGTTGAAAAGTTAACAAACACAACTCTAGAACAAATTTTCACTCAAGGTTTTGAAAGAGATCACATAGAGAGTGTTTTGCATGGATTTGAATTGGCTATTAAACATCAATCGCCAAAGTTTGGACTTAATTTGCTCTTCAATCTCATGCCTCTATGGAATCACAATGGCCCTATTTTGAGTGCTCTGAGGGTTAACCAGTTACTTGACCAACTTAAAGTAAACCTTAAAGACCAAAACTATGTAAGGGATGTTATTGAGAAATACTTCTTAAGTAATAAGCACAAATTAATAATGACCATGCAACCAGATCCTAAGTTTGATGACATCTTTAATGCTGCTGAACAGCAATTGCTTAAGAAAAAAGTGGCAGCACTAACAGAAGCAGAAAGAACACAGGTTTATGAAGATGGATTAGAATTGTCTAGAGCTCAGAAACAGGAACAGAATCTAGATGTGTTGCCATGTTTAAAAATAAATGAAATAACTCACACCAAAACTTCACCTCCACTGAAGCACACAGTAAGTGGATCTATACCTCTGCAGCTTTGTGAAGCTAACACCAATGGCGTAACATACTTCAAAGGTGTACTCGGAACCGAAATATTAAACGAAAAGCAGAGACAGTTACTGCCATTTTTCAATTATGCCATTGACAAGTTTGATACTAAATCTTATGATTTCAGGGATTTTGATAAGTATGTTAGCAAGAGTACATCTGGATTGAGTTTTTTAACTCACGTCACAGAGCACATTGACCAGCACGGTCAGTATGAGCAGGGGGTTCTGGTGGGCAGTCACTGTCTTGATGAAAATTTGCCTAAAATGCTTGATATCTGGTCCGAGATATTCAACAGGCCAAATTTTTCAAACGAAGAAAGGATGAACATGCTTCTAAATAACTACTGCTCATCTTTAACTAGTGGAATTATAGATAATGGACACACTTATGCTATGCAAGCCGCCCGCTCTTTAATCACCTCTGTTGATGAATGCAAAGAGAGTTTAATGGGTCTGCATCATGTAATTAATATGCAAAACATACAAAAACAGTACAATATTAATGATATACAAGCAATTGTAGACGATATTGCCAAACACATTTTCAATGGGAACAATCTGAGAGCTGCTTTCCATTACAGTAATACAAATGACATTCTGTTTAACTGTGTCGAAAAGTTTTGCACGGAATTATGCTCAACCGACGAAAACAAGGAAGCGAACCGAATCAACTGGGTTGAATCAAAACAAATGCCAAAAGACAACAGAGGTATTCACATTTCTATGAATATACCAGTCAACTTCTGCGCGAAAGTTATACAAACCGTGCCCTACACTGATCCAGATTATCCTAAATTGCGTGTATTGTCTAGATTTGTAACGTCTAAGTACCTTCATCCGATTGTGAGGGAACAAAATGGCGCATATGGAGGCGGTGCAATGTTAACACTTGATGGCGTTTTTAATTACTATTCATACAGGGATCCCAATTCGCGTACAACCTTAGACGTGTTTGACGAAACCTCTAACTGGATGGCCAAAAACACTAGGCTTATTGATGAACAAAATCTTTTCGAAGCCAAACTCTCAATACTGCAACAGATGGACCAACCTATAGCAGAGTACATGAAAGGTGTTGATTTATTCCTCTATGGGCTATCATTTGACATCTGGCAGACGCAGAGGGAGAGAGTGTTGGCTGTAACAAAGGAGGATTTGATTGCAGTATGCCAAAAATATCTGGCTCCAGAAAAATGGGCAGGGAAATGCGTGATTGGTGATGGTGCATCACAAGAGTTACAGAAGAATAATGAGATATGGAAGAAAGTTAGTGGGCCCCAGCAATGAATCTTAGCCAAAAGCATTGCTGTAATATATAAGATATTGCCAAGCGTTTGCACTTAGATATGGTTATTATTTCATGCTTATTATACATATATCTGATCTGTTATTGCTTTGGAAATATTAAAGACTGAAATGTTTAAATCAAATTGCTTCTTTGTCAGAAAATGTGAAGTAAAAAATGAATATAATTCAATTTTTGTCACCTTAAAATCTGTTTGCTAATTGTGAAAAAATTAAACTCGGAGTAACATAATTAAAACTAAGCAATAGTGCCATGTATGATAGAAATTGTTTTATGAACTTGAGCAGCAAAAATTCACATTTGTTTACTCTTATTTGCTTTAGTTTTATTAGATCTAATAAATTGTAATGGCAATAAATTTACAAAATAAATAAAAAATACAACAATTTACATGTACGAATAGCTTTAGTTCCAACTTATAATAAAACTATAAGCATTTAAACGTAAAAGACGCATTAACATGTAGCATTTTTTTTGTTTGGTTAGAAAAGAATTTTGAGACTGTTAAGAAATAAAAATTTATTTAATACATTAGTGTTTTCTTTTATCTTAATTCTTGTTTGTCAAAAAACGTTGAGCATGCACAAGATTAACGTCTACAGAAATGCCCGTTTTTATTGAAGTAAAAAAATCTAGACTTAGGACTTTTTAAAGCAGGTTCCACAGTCTCCAAAAGATTAATATTATTAAAAAAAACCGCGAATTTTATTTTTGTGTATCTATGTGGAGGGTAAACTCTTGAATCAATGCACCTTGAAAAAAATTTTACTGAAAGAATTTTTGAATATAAGATATTAATAATCATGCAAAATAACGAATTTTAAAACTTTATAGTGCTAATAGCTTTATAGTGTATAGAAAAACGTACGAAAAGTTTTTCGCCGCTGTGCGAACTCTCGTCTTAGGGATTCAAACCAATAACAGTCTTAGGGATTCAAACCCTTGGTGATATCTTGATTTATAATTTTTAATCTTTGATACTTGCTCTTCTTTCACTATTAGAATTAATATTCCACAAGTCATCATCCCAACTACCTCCTCATTATTCCAAAGACAACAATAGTAACGATCTTTAGTCCGGATCCCGGTGTTTGCCTTCAATCGAGCTGTCCATTCGGGATCAAATGAAATTGTTAGTAATAAGTGTTGATTTAAGGTACACAAGAAAAGTGAAAAAATACTCATCTGTTTATAATTTACTCTTCGTATTCGCCTTGATGCCGCATGGCTAAAGAATTTTCCGCTCAAGGCGCAAAGAAAACCCTTTCCCAGTAATGGGATCTGTATATATAAGCTGTTACTTCGTTTATGATTTCAGATACGTCACAAATGACTGTACCGCCACATTTTAGCAGCTATGAGGAGTACTTTGAGCAGTGTACGGCGTTCTTCGAGGAATATCAAAGCTTGTACAACTTCGCCAACACGGACGTGCTCGTCAAAAGCGTGTTAGGAAGCATACCAATTGACAACTTGAATGGAGTCGACGTTCTCAACGAGGGCTTCGACATTCGTCGGGCAGCAGAAAGTAGCGTTTACCTAAGTGGTTTCTTTAACAAGTTGGACAAGCTGCAAGCGAATTACGAATTTATTGAGGAGCATAATGAGGAGTATACGACCGATGTTCCCCTGGGTCCGAAAAAGAAACACGAGATCCTTTCTCTAGCCAAGGAAATCGAGAAGCTGTGCAGCCGAACCGGTTGTGACACGGTCGTCGATTTTGGTTCTGGTTTGGTTAGTTTTTAACATTGGTTTATGAGGTAACTAGATTTCCCCATTGTAGTCAACTGGTCGATTGCCACATGACCTAAATGCAGACTAGCCCGAAGAATGTGTTCTCAACTACTTCCACACCGGTAAGGCGATAATCGTCGGATGTAGGTGAACTCTAGAAATAACACTCCCTTGTCTGACCTAGGGAGTGTTATTTCATGGTCGCCTGAGACCTGGGCAATGGTTGCAATGCGATGTTAGTGTTCTTCGAATATTAACTTGTAATTAACGTAACTTTGCTTATATTATTTATCAATCTATCAAACTCGTTATTTTTTCTTGGATCAAAGAAAATATTATAGACCGTAATATGTGTTCCTGTCTATGTTAACATGAGAAAAATTGATGTTTTATTGTTGACATGTGTATCTTTATTTAAGAGGTTTTAGTTAAATGTTACTAAGTAGCTAGGAATAACGGAATTTCCAAGTTTACTCAAATCGCAGTGTAAAATAACGGAGGACACGAAAAAAAAATATTTTTCGTTTACCCTAAACATCTGTTTGTACGTACAGTGCCTTGTTTTATTTGATCTGTGAAGAAAATAAATACACGATCGTAACATGTACAATTTCGAGGCCTATTTTAGCAGTCGCCATTAGCAATTGAATTTTAAAATTACAATTTCATCGATTTTTGTTTCAAACCAACATTATTAGTATTTACCCATTTGAATTGGATAATAACTGGGCGGTTATTTCAGGGTTACCTCGATCAGGTTATTTTCGACATGACGAAGTATAACGTTATGGGTTTGGAATGCAATGAGAGCCACTACGTTGGAGCAAAGAAAAGGCAAAACAAATATCACACTGGATCGGCCGGCAGGGTTAAATATATTAAACATAGGATAACCGATCAATCCCATATAAATTTGGAGGGGTTTCTAAACGATAAATTTCCAAATACTCGCGGGTTCTGCATAACGGGCCTTCACGCTTGCGCAGATCTGACCGTTGACGGTATGAACATATTCTTAAAAATGCCCAACGCAAAAGCGATGATCCTAATGCCTTGCTGTTATCACAAAATGGGTCGTGAGAGTTTTTCAGACGACAAGTTTAAGAATTTCCCACTTAGTAACTGTCTGAATGAGATCTATATGAAGAATAGGGGGTTTGAATACATGCGTATACCGTTCCTAAGGTTAGCAGCACAACCACATTTCGCAAACCAAAGCAATCTAATGAATCTGGTCTTCAATTTACTTGCAAGGGGCGTGTTGCAAGTATGTGCGCATAAACGTGAGTACTAAATTGTTTATTAACGTGTCACTGTACTTCATCACATTACACCATAATATATAAATTGGAAATGTATAAATTATGTTGTGGTATGAATATTTAAAATACAAGCTCAAAAAGGCCGAATAGTAAGAAAGCTCACAGGTAATTGAATCGATGCTAGAGTTATTTAGTGGTAACTTACGAACGTATTAATTTTTATGTAAAATTTTGACATTTCATAGGAACGCGCAAGCGTCTATGCGAATAAATATAGTTTTGATTTCGTTTTAGGTAATAACAAAAATTATTACTTAACTAAATATTTTACTACTTACAAATGATTAATCGCGCAGCTTTATTTTTTTAAAACATTGCCCTTACTTTAGGATAATATTATCCTGTGTTGTAAGAACGTTTTACAAACATAAATTTCACGCAGACACTCCCAGATGCGAAAAAAATATCTGTGGTTCACACAAATAGTTGTTCCGTGTGGGAATCGAACCCTATCAACCTATACATGTCCCACTGCCGGGCAAAGGGGTCTCCTCTGTACACAGGGTATTAGGGCATAGTCCGCCACGCGGCCCCACAGCGGATTTCACATATCTTCGTAATTTTTTTTTTTGTTATTATTTTGAAAATACGCAGGTTTCCTCACGATGTTTTCCTTCACCGCTGAGCACGGGATAATTCAGCACTTAAAATTAACAATTTCATTGGTGCCGGCACCGGGGATCGAACTCAGGTTGCTCGAGTATATTGAATTAAAGGCGAGCACCCGGACACTGACCTATCACGGTCATCATAACCTTCAAAATTTATATTTAAAATTAATTGCAGATAACTACAAGATAAAAAGAAAAAAACGCAAGGCGGTGAGAGTCAAGACAATTCAGAACGATTTTGACAGCTACGTGCAAGATGCGTGTACGGAGGGATTCTCATTTATTAAGGACACTTGCTGGGAAAGTAATAAATCTATTGAATCAAGCCAAGAAATTACGTCTTCATGCCAAAGATTTTTGATTGAAGAGCTCAAGTCAATTTGGCGGGAACTATCTCCATCGATATTTAAAAAGGCTGCCATTTTTATTTTATTACAAAACTATTTGCAACCCGTGATTGAAAACTTCTTACTGCTGGATAGAATTGTATACTTAAAGGAAAAGGGTTTATTGAATACGACTTGTAAAAAGATAGTTAATAATCAAATTTCACCTAGATGTTTAGCCCTATTTGCTCATAAATAAAATAATGTTTAATAATTGCACTACTTCTCTTCCTTAAAATGCATACAAGCAGTTAGTCAATCTCCTTACAGTTAATTTCATCAACTACTACACTTCAATGAATAAATGGATTATGCAAACAAAATTTATATTTACTTATAAATTAATTTAATAATTTTTACTAGAACTACAAAAATGTAGTTTGTACCTATAATAATTATTTATAACATCTGAATATTTTCCATTAATAACAAATTTATATATTAGATAGAATTAAATTTCATTGACTTATTGTTTTCTACACTTAAAGCACTGGCTTCTTTACAGGTAATGTGCAGGGGAGGTGGCCTTGCCTTATCCCTCTTTTGTAAAATCTGATTTTTCCACTCAAGTGTCTCATTGGTTTCTGCAAGCCTAACAATTTCACCAGTAGATGGATTGATTGGATAGACCCCTTCCGGGGTCCGTTTCTTTTTAGCCTTATCCAACCCGTGCCTCCTCTTCATGTGTTTATTGTAGTTAGGCCAATTTGTGAAGTCTCTTTTGCAAACATCACAGGAATATGGCTTAACTCCAGTGTGCTGCCGCAGATGTTGGTTCAATATGCTTTTAAATCGGAATTTTTTATTACAGTAACTACAGTCATAGGGCAGTGAATCTGTGTGTATAATTTTGTGCGAGTTAAGTTGTCTAGGTAGACGAAATCCACGGCCACACTGGTCACATGTGTGAGGCTTCTCATTATTATGGATAGCAACATGGGATTTCAGCTGCTTTGATGTTTTAAAACTCGATTTACATATTTCACAATGATAAGGCCTTATATTGTCATGCATTAACATATGCCCAGCTAGATTCTGTTTGTTCAGAAAACATTTCCCGCACTTTTCACAGATATGTTCTCTCTTTCTTTCTGTGTGAATCAATAAATGTGTATTTAATGTTCCCTTAGTTTTGAAAGTCTTCATGCAAACAACGCAAGTTAAGCTGTTGGACTTTAATGCCGTTGGTATATCTCTCATCCTTTCATGTTTGTCTCTATTAAACATGCGATTATGTTCATTTAAGTCATCTAAACTCTGAAACTCTCCATTACAGCCAAGGCACACATATTCTGTTGTGGGCCCATGTTTGTTTCTCATATGCATGTGCAGTTGGCGTGCAAATATAAATTTACCATTACATTTATAGCATACCAATTTTAAATATTTTCTATGTTTTTTAACATGTACAATAAAACGTTTCAAATGAAATTTCCTTATATTACAATCATTACATTTGTAAGCGTTGCAACATTGATGATACTGCATGGAATGGATTTTGAGCTCTTCAATCGTGGAAAACTGTGTTTCACAGTATGCACAAGTCCAAAGAAAATCATTCCAAGTTAATTTGAGATATTTAAGAGAAAGAACATCTGAACTGGTTAAACTGTCAATAACTTTGTCGATTTGAGGTTCACATTTAATTTTTATATCCGCTGACATAGCAGAAATTTCGTCAAAAGACTGACTATCAAATTCTTTTTTTATTCGTGTGCTACAATCAGACTTATTATCTAAAATTTCGGATTTTTGGTCTTCTTCTGAGGAGCATTTCTCATTTTTTATTTTCTTTTTATATATATTGCTCAGGACGAGTTGCGCTTTTTCTACGCCCACTACAAATTCGAAAGCTTTATCCAAATTTTCTATACAGTTAGAGCATACTGTTTTAGGTACAACTTCTTCAAAATGGGTATAAATAATATTGAAACGTGACAATTTCTCCACAACTTTGCGTAGTTTCTCTTCATCACTCTGCAAATGTATTAATTTACTGAAACATTTCAGCCGAGCACACAGAAGACAATATGTCACATTGTTTTTATCCATGTTTATTTTACAGACCGTATTTCTTTTATTTTTATAGACTATTTTCAATAATTTTAACCAAAACAACAGTAAAAACTAAAGGTAAACATTAGATCAGTGATCAGGTTTTTTTTTTTTGGATTTCATATTTTTTGGCTCTGTATCAAGGACCTTTAGGCCAACACTTAGCGATGTGCGACTCGAGTTATTTGATTCGAGTAACTCGAATCAAACTTTAAACGAGTCAACTCGAGTTCAGTTTTAAGCAACTCGAATCAACTCGGTCGTCCGAACGCAAACCGGACGTTATACGCGGGGGCCTCACGAGTTGTTCCGAGTTACACACGCGGCTCGCGCGCGCGGTTCGTTAGGCGTTGCAACTCGCATCAACTCGAGTTGAGTGAAATGCAAAGTTACGTTAAACGCGCGCGCGCCTTTCGTAAGGTGTTGCATCTTACTCACATCAACTCGAATAGAACTCGGGTTGAGTCAGGCTCGTTCGGCCAGCAGAATCTATTTCACCGGAACGGCTGGCCACGGTGCCGGAGGCGTTGTTCCCGGCCTCAACTGGCGTTATCCCACCGGTGCCTGAGCCGGAAACCGCCGAGGAGGTGCCTCTGGTATCCGAGGGTGAGATGGGAGCCGCACTTCTGCGGCTTCGTGGGCGCAAAACGGCCCCTGGCCCCGATGGTGTGCCCGGCGGGGCTCTGGTCTTGGCCTTGGGGCCCCTAGAGGTCCTAGACGGACGGTAGACGTTCGCCGCTCACTTTCGCTGGCTGACACCGAATCTGCTAAAGGCATCCGCTGCTCTTGGACGCCTCTTGCCTAATGTGGGGGGATCAGGGTCGGTCTGCCGCCGCCTGAGGCGAAGGGGTGCGGCGATAACGTTTCAACCGAACGAATCGCAAGATGGCGACGCCAGGCGCCGGTCATTTTGATGCGCACCTGGCAGGAACGCTTGGCGGCTCCCACTGCCGGACATAGAGTGGCACAGGCCATCAGGCCTGTCCTGGAGAAGTGGATCGGTTCCCGAAATGGCAGTTTGTCATTCCGGATGGTGCAGGTGATGACTGGGCATGGATGCTTCGGTCATTACCTGCACGCTATCGGGAGGGAACCGAGCCAAAGGTGCCACCATTGTACCTGCGCCGACGATACGGCGCAGCACACGATGACGGAATGCCCGGCGAGGGGGGAGCCGCGAGGGCGGCTCCGTGACGTTGTCGGGTCGGATCTCTCGCTGCCGGCCATCTTTAGAGCAATGGTCGACAGCAGAGCGGCGTGCAGGGCGATGGCCTCCTTCTGCGAGACGGTCGTCTCACAGAAGGAGGCCTCCGAAATGGCAGTTTTGTCAAAGGGAGAGGGAGTGTGAATGCATTCTTCCGACCCGATCCGGCACGTCGCATGGGGGGAAGGCCGGGAGGCACCACGAGCGCGACGTCTCCCGCCCTAATGGGCCTCCGGGGACAGACGTGGGGACGTCTGTCACCTCGGTTTAGAGCAATGGCCCCGCGAAGGCGAAGTGCCCCACTGGTGTCATGGGCACTCATGCGGAGGACGGGGACAAAAGTCCGACCCGATCCCCTTCGTGGGGTGTGCACCAGCCCTGTGCAGGGTCGGGGTAGCCGTGGCTGGGTTGCAGCAGAATCGCTTGAGCGGGCCCTGCAATCCAGCATTTGACGGCAGAGGAGGACACCCGATGGGTTTTAGTTGGTAGGTCTGCCCTTCTCAGAGCGGGAGTCCAACATAACTCCTTGCTTCCCCTAGGGAGAGTATGCATGATGCATTTCCCATCGTTAAAAAAAAAAAAAAAAAAAAAAAAAGGCTCGTTCGGCCAGGATCGGAAACGGAATTGCGCAAATGAAAAACCGCTTTAAAAGTTTATTTTGTTTTTTGATTGACATTTTGTTATTTGATTTTATTAGTTGGCCGTTGGCGATCCGCGTGCGAACTGACATTTTTGATTTAATAGTGATCTGTTTTGTTTTGTTTGTAACGACGTCAAATAACAGAAGTGTGGCGTGGAAATTCTTTGCTATAAAAACAGAATTTTTTTTAACTTTATTTTCGATAAGCAATCGACTATGTACAATTATATTTTATAAGTACGACTTTGAGGCGATAGATGGCGGTATTTTTTGTCGTATTTTCACACACAATAATATACACCTTTGTTGATTGATTTTCGAAATAAATTGCACTCTAATGCCAATTGATTGTAAATTTTGTCTTTGAAATCCCAACGTTGGACACTGTTCGAGGTCGAGGTGTATAGAAAAAGGAGAGGATTAGTTCAGACCACAAACAAAGTTGCGAATCGACTCGAGTAGCCATATAACATCACGATTCAACATCATTATTACTTCCTATCTAATTATCCTCGAGTCGAGCTGACTCGTGCTCTCCGAGTTGGCCGAGTCGTCGTCCCCCCCCCCCCCCCCCCTCCCTCCCACCGGAGACTTCGATGTGAGTCAACTCGAGTTGCGATTCGAGTCAGTAGCCAAATCAACTCGAGTAACTCGAGTCAAAAAAAATCCAACTCGTCACATCACTGCCAACACTATAGAGTTCTGTGATGCAGCCCATATAATAATAATAAAATAATAAAATATCTTTATTCACATAGACGCTTGCGCGTTCTAATGAAACGTCAAAATTTTACAAGAAATTAACACGCTCGTAAGTTACCACCGGTTCGAAAAGCAGTTTCTGTTGAGAAAAAACCGGCAAGAAACTCAACAGTTGCTCTTTTTTTTTAAAAATCTGTTTACAATATAATAGTACAGGTACAATAGCCTTGTTTTAGCCTACGTGATAATCAACAGTATTAACCTCACACATTGGCGTCGTCAAGATATTCGGCAATAGTATAATAGGCTTTAGCCATAAGTTTACTTTTAATTTTTCGTTTAAATTCATCAAGTGGCAGACTTAATATCGACTGTGGGATTTTATTATACATGCGCACACTTTGCCCCATGAACGACCTGTTTACTTTTTGTTACTGTCTGGCGAAATAATGGCGTAGTTAGTTTGTCCTTATTTCTAGTATTTAGTTTATGTCTGTCACTATTCTTTTGATAATTATTAATATTCTGTTTAACATACAAAATATTGCAATAAATATATTGAGACGCAACAGTGAGTATATTAATCTCTTTAAAAAGATCTCTGAGTGTATTCCGAGCTCCGATGTTATAAATTGCTCGGACAGCTCTTTTTTGAATAATAAATATTGAATTTATATCAGATGCACTACCCCACAACAAAATGCCGTACGACAAGAAGCTGTGAAAATAACTGTAGTAAACAAGTCTGGCAGTGTCGATGTTTGCTGTGATGTAGCTGCCTAACCTTCCTAATTGCAAAAACAGCGGAGCTTAACCTATTCGCAAGAGATGATAGATGGGGACTCCATTGGAGCTTTGAATCTACTGTGATTCCCAAGAATACAGCGGACTCAACAGGATTAAGGGTTACGCTATTCAATTTTAAGCTAAAACTTTGCCTTCTTACGTTGGGAAGGGCAAAAAGAAGGCATTTAGTTTTTTTAGCATTTAACACCATATTATTAATGGTAAACCAGTGGAGGATACGCGAAAGTGCACTATTCACGTCGTCATAATTCGATACATTTCGGTCAACCTTAAAAATAAGCGATGTGTCGTCAACAAACAGTACAACATCACATAACTCACTGGCATAAAAGGGGAGATCATTTATATATAACTAAGAATAATAATGGGCCCAAGATTGATCCTTGTGGGACACCCATTTTCATGGGGGACCCTGCGGAATTTACATCATTTATAGATACTTTTTGAATTCTATTACTAAGGTAAGAGGCAATGAGATTGAGGGCGATGTCACGAATGCCATAATAATCAAGCTTTAGAAGGAGGGTTTTGTGATCCACGCAGTCGAAAGCTTTTGAAAGGTCGCAAAAACACCTATTGCATCTTGCGACCCTTCCCAGGCGTTATAAATATGTTTGACAAGTGCGATACCCGCATCTGTTGTCGATCTGCCTTTAGTGAATCCATATTGCTCATTGTGAAAAATTTTGTTCATATTAAAATGTACTAAGAGCTGATTTAAAATTAGTTTTTCAAAAATTTTACTCAGAGATGGCAATATGGAGATAGGTCTGTAGTTTCCTGGATCATTTTTATCCCCACTTTTGAAGACGGGGATTATCTTACTAAATTTCATAAGATCTGGAAATATTCCAGAATCTATGCAGTTGTTAAAAATATTAGCTAAATGTGGTGCAATATATGGCATTATTGTGGTCATTAATTTTATGGACATGCCCCATAAATCCCCTGTATTCTTAAGATTAATAGAATTCAAAACTTTTATAATATCATAAGTATCTACGTGATTAAATTTAAATGTGTGTGGACAAAAGGTAACATTATTTTTTACAACGTTAATTGCATCTATGGGAGATGATTTTAATGTACATGTGACATTAACTGCAATTTCTGAAAAATGGCTTTCAAAACTACTTGCAAAATCATTATCTGATGTTATGGGAGTATTACCTATAACCAGTTTTATAGATTATACACTTAACTGTTACATAGATAATAGCAATACATATGAACTGCAAGTACCTACATTGAATTGAAATTTAATCTGAAGTTTGAAATGTTTGAACCACGGAATGGAAAACAGTTTTTTTTTCCGTGTTTGTAGTCATAGTTCCATTCATAAATTAGATTGCATGTTCTCTAGTTTTGAGATATTCTTCGTACACGGTCATCATGTTTGAAAGCCTTGGGTTCCAACGTGGACCTCTCAAGTTAAGAAGGTTTACTAAATTCGTTCTATTTCTATTGTCAAAAATGTTTATAGGAAGGCGGATTAGTTTAAATTGTCGACAATTCTTTGAATAAAGTGGAAAGAGCCCTAATTTCAAGCCCACTCTTGCCTCTTATGAATGGGCGTTTCCCCAGGATCAGTACTTTTTAGGGGATCGGGCCCCTATTCCCTACATTACATTAGTAACACCCCTAGAGTTGAGACGCGAGTTAGCAATGTATAGCGCCAATGACACGGTCATCTAATTGACTGATAACAATACCCGGATTATTTTCCTCCTGCAGTCCCGAGCCCAAGACGAATGGTTCAGAAAGTACCAGATCGACGTCAATGTGACGAAGCGAAAGGTGATCAAATTCAATTGTCTTTTGGACTACCCCTGAAAGAAAAGTATCGCTGTTAAATTATATGGCCATCGGCGTTATGCTATATAAGAACTGTTTCCTTATAAGTAACTGACTCTTTAAAAGCACAATATCACTGTTGCATAAAAGACGAAGTTCGTTATTATATATGTCCCATCATGGTAAATTGCGAGTGTCTGTTTTGCGCATATCTCTGCCAATCACTTGAAATTGTTTTAAGTAGGTAATCTGACAATGGGTCAATGACTGCGATATATACCACGCTTAACTCGGCACATACACCGGTACAGCGCGTTCGCCAGCAAACACGAGGCAATTTGCAGCTTATACACAATATCCATGGGTTTTAGCTCGTTATATAATTAATTACGAAACTTGTACTTTCGAAGATAATTCGTGCGTGCCCCCCTATATAAGGAGTCTCGAAGATGTAGCAGAGCGGACGACGTCATCTTGCTCAAGCTGTTGTTCTCCTTATAACACGGGTCGTCTGCTTGCGGGTCCTCTTCTGGTGAAGATCAAGGCGGCTTAACTACTACAGAATAATGTTTCCTTTATGTTACGTATCCGAATTATCAACCGTCCAGGATTTCTTCATATTTTATAATAACAGGATGATGAAATAATACCATTACAGTATGTTAATTTATTTTTATAAATATATATTGATACTTTATTTTTTATTTCAGCAACTTTCAACTTTTTGATATCACACTTAAATAAATCAATTGCTGTCGCTCATGCACAGACACACAGACATACAGTTTTGTACAATTTATCAAACACGTAAAATTGATTAAAATTTGTACAAAGTGGAGAGATTACCACTAAAAAAAATTTAATTTCTAATACGTAAAATTGAATTATGTTATTTCAATGAGAAACAATTTGTCTCCAAAATTAACAGACTGTTTTGGTCCCAATAATTTTTTATGGTGCATAATATTCATATATTTTTAAATATATACTGTTGGTATTATTAAATTTTTATCACCAATAAGTGATATACACTTCATATGAATAAACAGACCAAGAAAATTCAGGCCAACATTGAATTTGTCTTCTTAAGATAATCAATTACATGGTTAGAAATATATAGCAGAATAAAAAAATAAGCATTATTTTATGCAGATGAAAGTAATTTATTTTTGGCTAGACACCCTTCTGTATTAATGGACACCTAACACCCGGTTTCTGAAACACTGATCATTGTAGATGTCAACTGATCAGCTGTCAAATAGTTTTTCATGTTTCATTTTAGTTGCCCAAAGGATGGTTAACATCTGATTAGTTGACATCTACGATGATCAGTGTTTCAGAAACTGGGCGTGATTGTATTATTTGTGAAATTATATCACTATGTTACAGTAAATACATTGCAATTACTTAATTTTTATACGATATAGCCTCTGTATGCATTCGCCTTCACTAACTACTAGTTTCTTCTTTTATTACTTTCTTCTTTCCCCTTTTAGCGGGTATCATAATCTTTGATTTCCATTCTTCCGTTCCTGTATCCTTGAGCTGTACTATCTGACCGGTCTCTGGATTTATGGGGAACACACCATCAGGTGTTATTTTTTTCTTAGACGTGTCGGTACCATGCCGCCTTTTCATGTGTTTGTTGTAATTTGACCAGTTGGTGAACTCCATACCGCAATTCTGACAAGAGTAGGGCTTAGCGCCAGTATGCTGGCGTTCATGATTTTTAAGGATCTGCTTGAAACGGAAAGCTTTGTTGCAATACTCACAGACATGTGGCATTGCATCTGTATGTATGATTTTATGGGATTTCAATTGGTATGGGAGCCTAAAACAGCGACCGCACTGCTCACATGAGTATGGCTTAACACCAGAATGCATCTCTACATGCCTACGTAGCATGTTTGGAAAAGAAAATGATTTGTTACAGATCCTACAGATGTGCGGTCTAATTTGTCATGAGACATTATGTGGGATGTAAGTGTGCCCTTGTTATAGAACATCTTTCCACATCTGTCACATGTATAATTTCTTTTGCGGTCATCAGTATGAATTTTCATGTGGTCTCTCAGGCTGTTAAGATTCTTATAAACCTTTTGACACAATTCACATGTCAGTTCTGCAATCGTAATGGGTGTTCCACGCTTCCTCCTAGGCTTACGTTTAGGTTTAACAGAATTATAGTTAGCCAAATGCTTTTTCAATGCTTCTTCATTTTTTAAAATCTCTCCGCAAAGTCCACATGGGACTTGTAACTTAATAAAATGCTGCTTTATATGTGCACTTAATGAATCTTCACGAATATGAGCATCACAGTAGTGGCACCTTTTTCTGAAATAAGACAGGAGGTTCAAGAAAGGCAACATAAATATAGATCAAGAAAAAATATCTAAATGAATAAAAAAAAGTATTTTAGTTTCTTTTATTCAGTTAGATTTTTTGTGATTTTTGTGTTTTGTAATTATTAGCTATATTTATCTTAGTACTGTGCATAATAAATCAAACTGGGAGATTAGGAATTAAGCAAACAATATATATTAAATATGAGTGCAAAAAATTAAAAAGAAACACTAAATAAAAGAAACTAAAACTCATTATTTTTCATTATTACCTTTGCTATTAAAAATTTAAAAGTACATAACTCTCATTGCTGAAGAAAGGCCTATTCTGTACAGACTTTATCCTCTCTATTATTAAATTAAACTAATTTTAAAGATAGATAAATCCTCAAAATTTGTTTAATTTAATAATGTGCAATCGCATAAACACAAGAAATGTTATATATTAATTTTTACTATTTCCTTATTACAAAACTTTTTGTATATATGTATTAATATTTTTACCTGCACCTGAATTTGAACTCAGGTTACGCTGAGGTATTGCAGTATATTAATAATGAATACAGATATATGGGTTGTACAAATTGTACTGCCTCACCTTAGCCTTCTCCGATGTCTTCTTACATGCTTTAAAAATGATTCAAAGTCACTTTTTGTAAAACTTTTACAGTCAATGCACATGAATGCATTGCATTTGCCATGCGTAATTTTTGAATGAGATCTTAATGTTGCTATATCGAGGAATTCAATGTTACAGTGCGCACATATCCACTGATAATTCTTCCACTGTGGAACTTTTCGTTTGCTTGTGTCCATAACTTCTTTCGCATAAATTGTTAAGTTTGGTGTATATGGCATACTACATATAGTTGCATCAAGTATATCTTGTACATTGAGGGTTTTACCATATTCTAAATTGGACGGATTGTCACCTACAACTGAAGCAGCATTTTCCAGAACATCACTAAGAACACTTGCTTCGTCTTTTGGTTCTTCTTTCACAGGTAAACTGTTACAAATATTTGGCAAATTTTGTTCTCTGTCTTCTGCAATAGATATTTCTTCTTTTATAAGGTGTGATGTTTCAGCAACTGAACCCGGTGAGATGTGTTCATCGAAACACATCCTATCGTCATCGGAAAGATCCTGTTTTGCATCATCGTCATCAGATACATTATGCTTTGTGCAATAATCGCTTGTGTACAAATTGAATAAAATTTCTTGAGATCTCTTCACTTTCTCGAAGAAGTCACAAGCTTTATTCAAAGAATCGTAGCAAACAAAACAAACAGTCTTCGGTAAGATGTTATTTTTATTAGTAAGATCAACGTAAATCGCATTTAAGAAGTTAAGTTTGTATATTACTTCTGTATATTTCTCATCATTTTTGCTTAAATTTAATACTTTATCGAAAGCTTTTGACTCTGCACAGAATCGACAATAAGTGTTTTCTAAGTTTTCCATTTTGCCTTTACAAATGCATTATGGGCTATTAAATATTTGCTCTCACTCTTGTAATATTTGTGATAAAATCAGGAAATTGGTAAAACAAAACAATTTTTAACCTTTTCATTTATCTGCCAATTACGTTCTGTTTCACGGATAATTGCTATGTAAATTGTAGACTAACACAAGTATTTCAGGTTACAGACTTACAGATTAATTACACAATATGAACTTTGGCTTAAAGGTCTTGCTATCAGGCCATAAAATCTTTATTAAAAAAATTGATCTCAAATTTTTATTCCTCAAAATTAATGTCGGACCGATCATAAATATGTCGGTCATAAATATTATATTTATCATTCGAACAACCGTCTACCACGGAAATAAAAACTCCCTGAAGGGGCCCATTCACTATCCTGCCTGGCAGTCCGCCGTGCAGTACTGCAAAGCAGGATGTAGCCCCAAACTATCCTGTCATGTATGCCGTCCATCATCAGTATTCAGTACTGTAAATGAAACTAATTTTACGGATTTATCGCGTTTATTTTTAATTTTAATTCCCTTTCTTTTTTTTTTAAAGGATGCCAGGCACGTCCTGGTCGGTGTTGCCAGAAACTTTGCAGGCCTGCGCCACCATTCACAATCCTGCATAAAGCGGCGGACAGCCAGGCAGGATAGTGAATGGGGCCCAGTCACTATCCTTTACCTTAAATTATCCGGACAACCCATTCCTTGGGCAAAAAGCCAAATACCTATTGCTTGACAAAAAACTCGCATTCCAACAGCTCATTCGTACTATAGCCAAATCAGACGAAGTAATAACGTCTCGTGTGGCACCTCTCACAAGAGCGAAACGTAGTGACAACATTCTCTCTGATATGAGCGATAAATGATACTCAGAGATCAGACGCACTCTTTATTTTTATAAAAAATATCCAAACACGCGGGTGTATTTTTCACGCATATCTCTGCCAATCACTTGAAACAGTAACAGTTAACTTCAAGTAATTCAAAATCGATTCCTTCGTAGCGTAAATGGCACGCTTATACGCGGAACGCCGAATTGCATCGCGACATTAAAATCAGTATCTATCCACTTTTTTTAAAGGAACGTTGATAAGATATTTTAAGTGGATAAATAGTCATTCAAGTCCGGTGCGGAATAAATAACGAAAGATGTTACCAACGACTACACTCCCTTTATCTGCGACTTTGCTTCCTTTGCAGAAGACATGGAGAGTGTTTCCTCATGTGCCCTGTCCATTTTCGACCTGTTACCCGCAAATTCCAAACACGCATCCAGAGTGGCCTAAATGACCTTAATTGTATTAAAATTAGTCCAAATTGAAACATAGGGAAATTATTTTTTGATAAATGTGGTGTTTGTTTGTTACTAAAATTTCCATACATTTTATATACTGTTTACGGAAGACCTTCCATGGTTACGCTTAAAGCTGCTACAAGTACAATGCGCACCATATCTTCCCGCAAAGTGTATAAAAATTGTTATGTATTTAGAGTTGCATGCAAGCAAACTGCGGGGCGGTCAGTTACATATTGTCTTTATTCGCGTTCGGCATCGCGTAATACATAATTGTGTACCCTCATATAGAGGAGGGGGTGGTAATTTGGAACCCCACTTTTTTTTAGAGTATTTTAAGAAAAAACTAATCATCTATTTGTTTAAAAACTTATTAACTTTTATATTAGAAACTAGTCTATAAAATAAAATCACTTATTTACAATAGCGTATACCTCAAACCCTATACTGAGGATTATCATTGAGAACACTGAAAAATCCTCAGTATGCCTAATCGCTTCTTTAAGGCCGCCAATTGTACCTTTAGAAACTATTTTGTCTGGTGTACAATAAAGCATATTTCATTCATTCACTCATTATAAGAAAAAAATTGCTTTTTTTGGAAAAATAAAAAAAATGTGTTCAAAGATCTGGTGCTGGTATTATGGAACCCGGGTTCCAAATTACAAGTATGAAATAAATTTACATACAAAAATCACAAATATAAAACTCCGCGTCACATCCTGAGTATTCAATATGTGCCCACAACCTATGTGATTGGCACTTAATCCAAGTTTCATCCAGTTGATCCTATTGGAGTAATTTTCAGAGCAAAAAATCCAAAAAGCGTCATCTTGATTTGTGGGCTGCGCTACCGTGCTAACATTTTCTGACAATTACAGTGTCACCTGAAGAAACAGAAGATTCCGAAGAGGTCGAATCCTCGCTGTTTAGAGGAGTTCTAGAAGACTTTGCAACACTCTACCCACCACTACGCCCACGAGCGCCTCCCCAAACTCTTCCCCGACTTCTTCCTCTCTACGCTATTGACTACTCAAGTTGCTCTTTGTAAGGAGACCCGGTTAATAAAGTAATACTGGTAATTTGGAACCCGGTTCCATATTACCTGCACCTATCGGGTTCCAAAATTAAAACCTTACTTTGTTACCAAATAATCAAGAAAACAAAAACTAGTTCAATAAATCTTAAAACTTCCCTCTGACAATGTAAACTTATGCGTATATGCTTCGTGTAACACCTACTGTATTTACTTTTAGACAAAAAACATTTGCAGGTGTCACAAAATTTCAACTTCTTATAACAGATCCAAACTCTATGCAAAAATGACGCTAGTGAAGTTAATACGTTCAATGACATCAGTTCGACGTAATTTCATAGGTTTTCAACAGATTTCGTTGTCTGTTCCTGCGATATTGAGGGGTTCCAAATTATTAGCAGGTTCTACCTCTTCCCTATACATAGCATCTGGTATATAGTATATCACATAACATATAAACTTCGTTCATCGAATCTCCTTTACAGGATTTTCTCCTTTTATTCACATTTGCGGATTAAAAAAAAAATAGTGGACTCGCTTGAGTGATTCTATTCAAGGTACAGTTTAGAGCGAGTTCTACATACGGATATATGCATATATTTTACGTGCACATTGTGCGCTCTACTTAACCGTTGGCTCGTTACGATTAAGTACATAGATAGAAATTAAAAAAAAAACGCCCATGTGCGAGTCCAACTCGGGTTTCGGGTAAGGGTTCCGTACCATTATCTATATAAACGGCATAAAAATCATGTCTGTTGTATGGGTGCCCCACTTAAATATTTTTTATACTGTTTTTTTAGTCTTTGTTGTTATAGCGGCAATAGAAATACATCATCTGTGAAAATATCAACTGTCTAACTACAGCCTGGTGAGACAGACAGAGACAGACAGACAGACAGCGAAGTCTTAGAAATAGGGTCACCTAAAGACGAAATGGGACCACGAATATCAATATTAAAAATAGTTTCCGAATGTTTCATTGTAAAATGTCATATGAAACAGTGGTCGTTTGTTGTAAAGGAAACACATGATGCCAAACAGTGCTTAAAATTTAATAAAAAATAAACTTTGAGATTTTTTTCGGTATGAATATAAGCCGTTTAACGTGGCCATAGGGTGTCAAATGGCTTATCAAATTTCATTTTAGTTATCGAAAGGATGCTTGAAAACTCTTGAAATTGACAAGAACGACTTTCTTAAAGATCGGAATGATCATTCAAAGAGTTAAACCATTCTTTTGGCAAAGCAAATGACATTTGAAAAGCCATTTGACAGCTGATTAGTTGACATTTACGATGATCAGTGTTTCAGAAACCGGGCGTGAGAGTGGTAAAAGCGAAAAATTTGTAAAATTCAACTAAAACACAGATATCGAGCATATTAACATAAAAATAAGACACGCTTTTTATGAACTAAAATTATTATACAACATCAGAAGTCATTTTTTTTTGGAAAAGCGGGAAAACCGCCGTCATTGAACATCTGCAATACCGGAAGGCTGCAAATGCGTTGCCGGTATTTCAGAAAGGAGTAAGTTCTCATCTTGAAGGTTCACAGGTCGTAACGGTTCAGAAAAGTCGGGGAATTGATTGTGGAAGCCTAACGCACGACTCGATGAATGCTACGTACGGCGTGCAAGCGGTCTGGTAACGATGTATGGCTTCATTGCAGGTGTTTCGAAATATAAAACTCAGCGGCTCGCGAAGGTCTCTCTTCGCTGAATTAAATAAAATATCAAATGTTATCAATCTTTATTATGAAATCAAATTTATTTAAATAAAAAATACGCATTTGGAAAAATCTCAAAGAGATTAGGGGAGAGAGAGAGGGTAGAGAAAAAGCTAAAACAACATCTCACCAAGCAAGGGTCGAAAA